CGAAAACCGTCGATTTGCGGCGCACGATAACTAGCCAGTCAAATGACTGATGATCGAAGAGAAACAAATTTCGAAGTTTTGAAACATGCTCGAGATATAAGCGCGAACTTATTGATCAACAGATAAGATTTGATACTAGAGAAGGCTCGTGATTATTGGAATTCCGATTATCCGAGGTATTAATTAGGAAAAGCAACAGAATAGTTCACTGCAAAAGGGTCGATGCCGAAATCTATTCTAGGTATATTGGGACTTTCCTCAATTCCGTAATCATTGGATCCCCTCGTCAATCATTGAGTGTGTCCTTCGTCATTGGCACTCTCAGTTTTAGCTGTCCCTCAATGTATGAGGTAAACGTGATTATTTTGTTTACCGTATTTCTACTGTATAGTTTTATGTAAATTATATGTTGACAGTTTACCCAAACCTTCACCTAGTATATGTACTCGAACCTTAGCCAATAAACAACGGATTATCAGTTTTCGAACCTTGAAGTAATAGCGGACCCGAATACTCGCAATTATGTACAAAATTAAATTTCATAAGTGGTAAATGTTCATGTATTTTGCGCAAAATATGCAAAAACACATTTTTGATAAATGTTGAACAAAAATGAAATTACTTCCATGCATTGAACACATCGAAACATCATTTTTATAAAGGATATATTTAAGATATGGCCTTGTCGTAAATAAAGACTAGAAACGTTTCAAGTCTATTACAATGAAAGAATTAATTTTACAACAAAATCTTATATGAACCGTTTTGTAGGAAATTTTGTAAAGGTCATAATTTTCGGTAGGATTTATAGTTATGGAGATATATAAACAAAAAAGAAGAAAAAAAAATTAAATTAAACGGCCCCTTACCCAGATCCTCTCTCCCCCCTCCCCCACACTTCAAGATTTTAAACATAATGTGCGGTAGAAACCAAAAAATAATCATGCCAAGTTTCAAAACTCCTGGATTTTTTCACTCGATTTGTTTAATTTGACTGGGTTAAACAATACTTTCTCTTCTTGTGAAGTAAGGTGAGAAAACTCGCAAGTACGTACAAAATTAATTTTCTTAAGAGGTAAAATGTTCGTGTATTTTGTTCATGTGTATGCGAAAAATAGGCAAAACACAATTTTGATAAATGTTGAACAAATATACAATTAAAATTACAAAATTACAATGCAAGAATGCTTGATAATATTGATCATGCTCACATTATTAAATCCTAAAGCACGTATAAAAGGGAACTAATCTAAGCAATAATTTTGAAGTGACAACGAGTGAAACAGAAATTCATTATCAGCTACTCTGTTTAGTATGATAATAGATGTAATTATGAAATAACTAGACGTGAGGGGGAATATTACCACACGTCTGGAAGAATGTATCGCATACGCAGACAACTTACTTTCAACGTATAGAACTAAGTCTGCACTTGATCAAATGTTTCCTCGTTTGAAACAATAGTCCTTAGAGTATGGATTAATTATAAATAAACATAAATCAAAATACATGATATTCAAACCACAAAACAAAATACACGAACACAAATAAACTATGACATAAGAATTGATAGCGATAGTTTCCAAGAAGTTAATCCAAATGAATATCTTGGGTCTAAAGTCAATAACCATAATCAGATCAAAGAAGAAATAAAAGAATCAATAACGACTAGAAATAAAGGATACTTCGTGAACCAATTATACTTCAAAGCAAACTAAGATCTAAAATTACAAAATTAAAGATTATATGACTGTAATACTGTAGTCACATACAACCTCGCGCCCGTGTTGCGTATACTATTTTTTAACATGCTGTGAGTAAAAGACAATGCGTCAAGTAAAGGAATTAATTTAAAGTAAATTAAACATCAAATAACTAGAAATACCTTACTTGTTCAAACGTAAATGGATTTGTCAGTGTCGTAACACTATTGTTTGTAAATTATAAATCAAGACGTTGTCAAGACAAAAGGCAATTGCGAATCGTTACAGAAGTTTCTCACACAGTGAAAAAATGTTTCGCACAAGGAAAACAAGTGCGAAAAACCGTGTTTCGTGCACGGCGTGTTAAAAAATGTGTTTCCTATGTTCAATATAGCAAATGGGGAAAGTTAACGATTACTGAGGCATCTGGTATTGTGGATCACGTGTGAATCAGGTCCAATGTCTTTAGTTCCCTTTATCCGAATTCGCACAAGTGGGTCAAAATAAACAATTACAAAGTTCACGTGTTGTCAATGAACATACAAGAGGATATATCATATAACTGAGTTACACATGTGGTTTGCCCCTGAATGTTAGGCAACTTCTTATGAATAGGTGATGTATGTCACGTCCTAACGCAGTCCAAGACATTACATTCACCTGCGCTTAACCGAGTTGCCTGGCATTCAGGGGTAAATGCCACTTGAACAACTCTGTTGTATGATTAATTGTTAGTGATTCCAGGCACGTCAACTACTCAGGCCAATATTCCCGTAAGTGTGGTGCATGTTTTGCTCGGGAGGTGGCGGTGGTATTTCCCAAGCTGTGTGGCGAGGTCCAGCGCCGACCCACCGTCGGCCAGCGGGGTTTCCCCCGGCCAGGTACTTCAACTGAGCACCGCCTCGGCCGGCACAAGCTCTAAGCTCCCGACATGTGTGTTGGTGTAACTGTGTGTAAGGGGTAAGAAAAGGACAAGGAAGAGGAAGGTAAGATCGCGCGCGATCGGTGGCCCGTTTGTTACGACGACGATTCTGGCATTCGCCTAGTATTTATTGGAGAAAGCACGGAAAATTACCGATCAGAGCAGCCGGCCGCTAGAATTCTCCTCCAGGCAGCGATTGAATTGGACCTGCTAGATTGGACCTAGATGACAAGCTAGTGTCGAAAATCTTGCCACCAAGGATCTCCCGGTCAGAGACACTTCTGTGACATCCGTTGTTGCCCTGAGCCATCTCCCTGGCATCTGTTATATGAAATATCCCACATTAGCAACAAGTGATCGACATTAGACACATTTACATGACATATACGTTTGTAACATTATTCTGAGAACCTGAACATTCAAAGTTGACTGAATTCTTTTATGGCTCTAATGGTTGCAACTGGCACGTGTCAGTTCGGCTGCTACAGCTCTGTGACGTATAAAGGCTGGTGCAATTCAGCGCGGGTAACGGCGTCGCTTGCTCTGTTCTGAAAGCGAAGGGAAAAGAGCTGGGGCCGGAGATATAGTTACCACGTTCTGAAAGTGAAGCGGGTTGGGTTCCCTTTCCTCGATGACTCAAGTCTGGGATATGATCTCTATTACTTTTACGATTAAGCAGTCCGCCACACTATAGAAAGGAATTATCACTTACAGTTAGGCCCCGGAAGTTTTATAAGCCATTTTAGCTTTTAGTCAAATTAGTCCATTTTAGATTTTTATAATTTTTTAAATCATATTTGTATCAGACTGAGCAATTATTGTAATAAATGACAAATATAAATTACTATATAATTTTATTCAAAATTTCTACTTTTGAACTTAAGAAAAGTTCTTCTAAAAATCACAAATTTTAAGAACAATTTTTCATCATCTTAAGTATTCCCTTGAAAGTTAGTAACCAAAACAAAAAGTCACATTTTTTAAGTCGTACTATTGCAATGAACCACAAAATGAAGTGTACAATCCCAAAATATATTGTGCAAAGGACTTCCTATTGTCTCTCTAAGCATATTTGAAACGAAAAAAGGTTCGAACCACGCATCAACATGAAGTTAATGATGCATTCTTCATAGATGCCATTGCTCTCGAGCTCCAAGATAATTATTCAGATACTTCTTCTCCTAGAAGAACTTGTCTTCCATCTTTGCGTAACAATTACTATGTTACTCCATAGGGCTCGTTCATACATTACGTACCGGTTAAGAGAGTTGAGACAGCGTTATGCTGCTTTAAATAGGGGTAGGGGGTCAGTTTACTGTTTAGTGATGCTGATATTTATTTTTAAAATCTTTCAACATTTGCTGAAATAATTTATTCTATTCAGTTTTATACAAAATCATTACCATATTTACACATTAAATTAAAAATATAATAATTTAAAGAAGCTATATTCTATTAATTGTTACGATTAAAATATTTTTCATAAATAATTGGTTGAATCTTTTAGATTACGAAGATAACATTCAAAACTGATCTAGAGTATATTCTCAATTCCAATTAGTTGGCACAGTAGGCTCGGAGTGTATGCGTCGTCCACGACCGCACGCTTTGTCAGAATTTTTTCTCGCTTACGCGTCTTTCTTTCATTAAAAAATTGTTTCCAAACTTATTGTTATGCGCAATCCGCAGCAACTAAATTTGACGTTAATTACAATAAATTTTAATGTAAAACAAATAGAATTACAAATACAACCTGTTTCTGCTTTGTAATTAAGGTTTACTTATTGGAATTAGGGGAGCGGGGAACTTGTCGCAATCATTACGAAATTATTAGAGGGAAGTTGAAGCGTGCGTTACAGGGAATATAGAGGGTATTCAAAATACTCCAAATTTGCATTACGTAATTAATGAACTGCCCCATAATACTAATAATGATTGGGAGACATTCACCGATATGTTTATCCTCTAATGAAATTCATTTTTCATTTCTTCTTATTTGATAGTTCAAATCGCAAATTCTCAATCCCAGAAGTAATGCATCGCAGGGTTTTTCTCTTTATTTACTCAGATTTTAATTAGATGTGATTTAATTTAATATTTCCAGAGCTCTATCATTGTTATATTTTTGTATTTTATATAATGTTATATTGTACAGAAATTCTTACTGCAGAGTTTTAAAAAAGAATGTTTACTGGAAGCGTCGTGGTCGTGAAGGAGACGAAATGTTATTTCTGTTATATTCTAGCATCGATTTAGAATCCTGACCTCCCCCTTTCAATATTTTACAGCTCTGAAAGCACGCAATTGCTGATTTATCGATTAATCGAAACTTTCAGGATCGATGATCCCCAAGTTGCTGATGTCGATAATCAGAAGCATACACGAATTTCGAGATACTGAAAGGCAGTTAAATTATAAGTTGCTGCAGTTTTTATGTAATTTAGTCTCCCCCTTATCCTCCCGGTTACGTTACATAACAGGGTAATAGATGTTGCCGGCTGAAGTCCACGGACTATGCTCCACATCCGGACGTCTTATCAAGGACGAATCACTTCGGAGCAGCTCCGGAGACTTGCCTTCCAATGACTTGCAATGACTGCCACAGAACACCGGCAACAGATAATTGAGGTCACTCCGTGCCTTGCCTCACATTAGTAGTTATGCCATTGCTTTATCTTGGCGGAATTAAGTGATATTTTGCCCAAAGGCGTCAATTGAGTGTACAGACCACCTACAGACTTGTAGCAATGGAGTGGGTGATCACTCCTTTCGATATTCTTTCCTGTATACCTCGGTGGTTTGTTGGTGCAATTTTAGGAATAATATTTCTCATGTATTACCTTCGTGAAGCTGTCCAGGTGAGTTGATTAGTTTACAATGTTACATTTTAAATTCCTTGTGAATTATCTTCAACATATGCCAAAATTGCAGCAACCTGTCATCGCTTGTTCGCGCGGCAAATTTCGAGACTTCCTGGAGGATCATGTGCCTATCCTCAAGGAAAAATATTGGCCTACATTTTGGTGCTTTGAATCCAGATTGCAAACAATATTTGCAAGTCTTCTACGCTCCAAATTTCTCCCTGATATAAAATATCGAAGGTATGCTTTTCTGTTTTCATAATTTGATATGAGATTGAAGTTGCAGTTTTTTTGTTTGTTTTTGTAAAATATCTCTTAATTATATAAAGTATTGTTTTCGTGCCTATCACAAACTGTTTTCCCTTTCTGAGGAAGAGTGGGTATCTTTATTTTAAATTCTCTTATTTAGACTATCTTAGAATGCATATTTGAATTGGTGTAGCAGTAAGATTTGATTTTTTTTTAATTTTGGTTGCCCATTTCATGCTCTTGTCTTTCAATAAATTATTTTTTTCGTATTTGATCTATAATTTGTTGTCTTTTCCTTGCTCATTTAATTTGTATGACTATGCAATAATTAGTTGAATCAAGTTCCCTTTTCTTTTAACTACTTAATACCGCAACCTTTAACTAACACATAATTCATATGACGTTAAAGTAATATAAATATAGAAAATGTTGAAGAAAATATTCCTTTTCATCAAGGTTAATATCTGTTTGAAGAAAATAAAATTAGAAGTTATTTGGTGATGAATTGATTCATTTTGAATATTTCACAAATTGTGAATAAAATTGCGATTTTGAATTGTGTGAGACTCAGCACTCTTGAGTAGCACACAAATGATTATATTTGTGTGTTGTTGAATTGTACTTGTGTTAAATACTAGCTAGGCTCACAAGTGTTATTATTTTAGATAAACTTGTATCATCTACGTGACTTAGGAATAGTATTTGAACTGTCATCTTAGCTCGTGATTTTAGATATTGTAAAATGAATTGAATATAAAAGGATTTATGAGGTAATCAGTTGCATCTTATTCCAGTTACTAAATTTTGTAAGTCATATTCTATTGTTATTACATGTTCTCATTTATTTTGAAAAGTTTAGGGAGAAATAATGACTACTCTAAGAGTTAAAGAAATTTCAAGATCAATAATGATTCAGTCAAATGTAGCAGTAATGATCCAGAAATAAAAGTTTATACATTTTTTCATTGTTTGATCATTTTTCTCTCAAATATTGTTAACTTTGTGTCTTTTTTTTTTTTTGTAAATAGAAAAGGCCAAGTTAATAATAAATTAGGGAAACACAATTAATAAGAGATATTCAAGAATGTTATACAATTTAAAGAATACATTATACAATTTAATTTATGTTCTCAGTATAAATATAATTGTTTAATTTAATATAGATATAAATTGTTTGCTCCAAAATGTGAGAAAAAGGTCCCGAGAGGTTTTTTGAGGCCTGTTTCCATCCACCACCAAAAAAAATGTATGCGATTATCACAGCTCACTTAATTGTTGAAATACTTTCTACCAGATTTATTTTTTTAAAACTCTTGTTGGTTGTAAAGACAACTGTTTGAACCATCTCTTCGGTGGTGTCTATATTAAACTGTTTCTCATTCAGAGAAATTTTACGTTTGAGTGACGGAGGAGAAGTTGGCTTAGACTGGTTAGAAGATGGCTGTGTCCCCAGCTCTCCCATTATTATAATTCTTCCTGGTTTGACTGGTGAAAGTCAAGCTGATTATGTGAAGTGCTTAGTAACTACAGCAAATCAAATCGGAATCAGAATAGTTGTGTTCAACAACAGAGGAATGGGTGGAATAGACTTGAAGGTAAAAGCTTGGCCCTATATGGAATATTTGTAACATTTGTGGCAACTATGTTTAAATTTCAAGATTTAGTTAATTTGTTTTTATAATTATTCTATTGTAGACTCCACGTACATATTGTGCTGCAAATATAGAAGACTTCACGGAAGTAGTACACCATGTTAAAAATTCGAATGCCAATGTGCCTTTGGCTGCCACAGGAATCTCAATGGGAGGGTACGTATTGATGCAAAGTATTGTTATCAAATGAAATAATATTTTATATCTTCATAAAAGTGAGAAATATTTGTCATTATTATGAAAATGATTTGAAAATAATTGTTTGGCTTGATAGTCATAAAAATAATGAAATTTTATCAAGAGACTGTATATCTACAAACTATGTTTACAGATTAATTCTTGGAAATTATCTAGCTTCTAAAGGTGGTGAAGCAAGAAAAATATTTTCTGCAGCAATGGTTATCTCTGTTCCTTGGGATGTGTTTAAAGGTACAGAGAGTATTGAAAAGCCCATTATTAATCTAATGTTGAATTGGCATTTATGTGGAGGACTATGCAAGACAGTGGAAAGGTAAATACATATTTATGTAAAAACTACATAAATAAATTCAAGTAGTCTACTCTCTCATCTTCCTGTCCAATCCATGCAAAGATTTTAAGAATTATTATGCAATAGCTTGTCAACCTGAACAAAATTCTCTTGCTTTAATTTAAAACTACCCCAAAGATAGTAGTGTTTTTGAAAAAAAATTACAAGAAATGAATAAAAATCCAGAATTGAAGATTAGTTTGCTTCAAGAAAGAAATCTCTATTTCACTATTAAAGAGGTAGGGTAATTCAAAAGAATTAACTTTTGGAATTTTCAAAATTCCTCAATTTTAATCTTAAAGGTCTACGTTGAATTATTAAGCAAACTTAACTTTATTTGAGTAAAAGATTGCAAGAAAAAATGTTGAGTAGTTTTTAAAGAAATCTTGTTTAAAGTAATAAATGTTCACTATTTCATCAAAAATTAAGTAAAAACTTCTCGTATTTAAAAAATAATTTCTTTACTTTAGAAGGACGATGTTAGAAAAACTTTTGTAATTTTCTAAAAATGGGATGTTTTACTAATAAATGGATTGTGTCATTTTTACAAGTATTCTTTTGTCTATTCAAGCAAAGCATTCTTTAAAAACTTTTCAGCCATTTTTGTAAAAATTTGGTAGAAGTCGTAGGGGCTTTATATAAAACCCTTACAACTACCCCCAAAATTAAAATGACTGCTTCAAATATAAAGGATATGATATAATAATAAGTATGATGTTAAGTGGCTCTAAAGATAATTTGAACGCATGTCTTCTCCATAAATTAGCTGTATTTTTTATGCATTTGAAGGATGGAACAGTGCTTGGGGAGGAGCTCAGAAGAGATTCAGAGAACAGTCTCTTGGGATGTGAAATCTGTTCTTCAGGTGAGTCCTTAAGCGTAAGATTGTTTGAAAAACAGTTGATTCTCCTGAACCAATAAGATTTTTGATATTTAACACACCTTTAATGCTGATTAATATGATTGGTATGGGAAGAAAGAATATTAATATGTTATAAATATTACTTGTATATATTGAATTAAAATCTTGGCATTGTCATCATCATCAAAACTTGATGTCCTTTTTCTTCGAAGAATAATTTATTACAAGTTTTGGGAAGAACTAATTTAATTAAATGGTAAGTTTCTTTGGAGACTGATACCCCCAATTTTTAAAACAAAATAGTCTTTTGGCCCCTGTAGCCCAGCACACACATTGAGTACTATTAGAAATATTAATGATTGATATGTTATGTAATAACTTTATTACGCATTAACATTATTATACAAAGAAAATGATCAATTATTACTGTTTTTCCAGTGGAATGCATAAAATTTGCATTGCTTAGTGACCATATGCTATCTAAAATTATTTCTTAGCTATTGCAACTGAACTGTAGCTTTGTAGTGAACATAATTAACTGAAAATCTTTTAATCTTTAAATTTCAGAGCAAAACCATTCGAGAATTTGATTCAAAATTTACCACCAAGCAGTTTGGATTTAAAGATGTAGAAGATTATTACACCCAAGCCACAATTCACACAAAAATTGACAAAATACAGGTGCCTTTATTATGTCTTAGTGCTGCTGATGATCCTTTTCAACCATTGGATGGTAAGAACATTTTATAATTTTCTACCTTTTTTTGATATTGAAAGAAGAAAAAAGCACATTCATTTTCAGTGCTGTTAATTCTTCCATTATGTATTCTTTGCAATTTTATTAGTAGTAGGTTATCCATGTATATGAAAGGAATATTAGATGGATCTGCAAATATTTCATTTCAGAATGATGTGAAATTCAAATTTAACACATTAAGACGAAGATTTATATTATTAGATCTATAACTTTTTATAAGTGTGATTGAAAATCAGATTTCATGATTTTCTTCTTTAGTTCTTCCTTTAAAACTCTCTAGTGGTGAATAATAATCAATTATCATAATATTCTCTTCATTTGTGCTCCAAGCAATTTCAAAGATATTGGATTTTATATTTTTGCAGCTATTCCTGTGGATGCTGCCAATGAATCATCCAATGTGGCAATTGTGATAACAGCTCGAGGTGGTCATATTGGATTTCTGGAAGGGTTTCTGCCTGCCTTAGAGAAACAGTATATGAGCCGTCTATTTTGCCAGTTTTTTGCTGCTGTTTTTAGAGATGGTGCAGCTCTTTTGAGCTCATCAGATTCTGAAGAATGATTGGTGTCACTCTTGCCTTTTAGAAAATTATACAATTTTTTTTCCTTTCCTTTAAAACTTATGGCTATTGAATGATAGTTATGGATAATCTTTGTAAGTTAGTTTTATGATTTTAACACAAAGTATTAGTAAATGGCACAAATCATGAGGAAGATATCTTTATTGGAATCTTGAAGTTAAATATGATAGGCTCAATTACATATTCAAGAAACATTGATTTTTAACATGTTTCTCTCATGACAATTTTAGAGTAGGTACTAGGTACAGTCCTTTTAAAATTTTTATACTGCATTATACAAATTTATCAAATTAATGAGCAAGAAGTACTGGAAGTGTAATAGCATTGTGCAATTTTTATTTTCATCTTCACGCATTGTGTATGTGCATATTCACTATCAAGATTTAACATTGATAGAGATTCACTTATCAAATCAAAAATTCATATTATTAGCATATAAAATATATTATTGAAAGGGGCTTGTAGATGATCAAGTAAGCAGATTAAAAATTGTCCATCTTTAATAGTGAATGTGCATGTTGAAGTACATTTTAAATGAATATTTGGGTGATTTTCACTCATCATATATTCAGTGTCATTAGTTTTATTTAATTTCCATTGTGTTCAGTTGTAATACAGGTTATTACTGGAAAGTGATTAAAATGTGAAGTAAAACTTGAAACCCATGAGTGAGTCACCTAGAGGAAAGGATGTATTATTTACAAATGTGATAATATAACATTAATTTTTTATTATTGTTATTGTTAATATAGATAGAATTTCTGTTTACTTGTCTTTATATGTTACCTCTACTTTGGCAATGCCTTTTAGCTGAAGTAGGCATTTAAAAATATATTGTTAGCTTGAAAAGCATTTAATGATAATTGTTTTCACAAAATGTGTCTGACTTGGACAGAGTGTTATGAGCAACATTTGTCAAATCAGATCTGATGTTCTTGTAAACAATTGTTTGCCATATTGTATTTTCCAGTTAAAGGAAAACAGGTTGTATGATACACACTGTTATCATGGATAGCATTGTAATGTGAAATGTGATATATTCTATGTTTTCAAGTGTAGACAAGCAGCAGAAACAGTTACAACTGTTCAAATAAACAATTAAAATGTTTTCAAGTGTAGACAAGCAGCAGAAACAGTTACAACTGTTCAAATAAACAATTAAAATTTCAAGGTATGATTTCTAAGTTTTTGTTGATTGATCCGAGACCAACAGATTGGTCTTCAGCATTTGTAATTGTCTTAGAATGCCTACTTTGGTCATTTGTATTTAATTCTGTGGAGGAAGTACCCAATTATATTACAGACAGTCCACTTTGCACTTGTGGTTAAAATTTTTAATTAAAACATTCAGCATTAAAATAAGAGAAAACAGTAAAATATTTTTTATTACAACAAAATGTACATTTCATGAACCTGAATTTTTGCACCATCCCAAATTCAGATTCAGGAACAGGTTCTTTAATGTTTTTTACTATTTGAAATTTGTTATTGAGCATATTTCTAATTACTATATATGTTCTCAAGTTTTATCGCTTTATTTTTAACTTTATAATTTTTGATACATAAGGTAGAATTAACATATTTTGTCTAATTTGGGTATGAGTTGGTAAGCTACATTGACGTAGTTGTGATCTCTCTTATAGGATATTTATTCTGTTAATAATTTGTGTGGCAAATATTTTCAATTAAAATTTGTTTTACAATTTTTATTGATTTCATGAAAAATAGGATGAGATAGTAAGGTGGCTCAATCAACCAGATTATATGTAACTGCTCTTTTCTGATGTAAAGGTTGTTTAGAGAAAAACATAAAGGTTCATTTTGCAGCATGTGCTTCCAAAACAATTAGTAATTATTTCACCTTTTTATGATGTAAATTTACATCCAAGAAGTTTAAAGAATTCTATGGTCAATTGTATTGCATCATTAAATCTGTTAAATATATTCAGAATGTCTATAGCTTTGTTTCTGGAGACAACAAAAGATAAGTCATCCACATCCCTCTTCTAGTAAAAAGGTTCAATGAGAGGTAGTATGGTGTCATCTAGCTTTCTCATGACTAATTCTGAAAAAAAGTGAACTCTGTGAACCACCGTTGAGTCAGTTGATGTAAATCAATTATCAAATGTAAATTCCATATTGGATAAATTGCACTTAATCATGAACAATTTCTTGTATTGAGAAAGTGAAATCCATCAGTTGAGGTAAAATCTTTTCTAAAACTTATTACCTGTGTGTGTGGGTTATTGGGGAACATTGAGTTAGATCAAAACGGGAGTAGTTTTATGGATTTTTAATAGGCCACAGCCCTTCAGTATTCAGCCAATCGTGGGATAAAGGTATTTGAAAGTCTTCAAATGTATGTACTTATTTGTTTTCCATCTTTTATCTATTTCTTTGAGGAAACAAAACTGATTACTTAGTGAAACAAAAGGTGTATTTTGTTTTAATGCAAAGTATTTTACTGTTTTCTCTCATTTTAATGCAGAATGTTTTAAACAACAATTGTAACCAGTAATGTAAAGTGAACTGTCTGTGATATAATTGGGTACTTTCTCCAAAGAATTTATTATTGCCATGTTCTGTAATTTTGTGTTCATTGCAATAGCAACAAGTGAGTTGGAAATTAATGATTTAATTTCAATTGGAACTCCACATTTAATATTGAAACAGTTGTAATATTCAGTTAAGTGAGAGTGCAATTATTATTGAGAGACAAGCAACCAAGCAAATATATCTCTGCAGTTAACCTAGAGAATGATAAAGCATCTTATTTGTGTTACTGTAGAAAGGGAAGAGGAGTAATGACATACTTGTAAGGTTGAGCTAATGTTCTAATGATACTTGTGACTCGTAATTACCAATACAATGCAGATTTGGTGAAGTCGAGTTCTGAAAAGACAGGTGTTCTCATCTGCTATATTCATCTCTTGCTTTGCATGTCTTGAATAGTGAAGTGTGTTTAAAAGCAATAGTAATGTGTGTTTTGAGTCATTGTTCTTTTTTCAATACTAATGTGACATTGAAGATTTTATATAAATAATAACTATATTTAAATATTGTTGAAACACTAGGATATACATATTTTCTTTGATGAGAAACAAATTTCAAACCACCTCAAATTGTTTGTACTGTCAATGCCCTACATGCTACTTCAATATGGCATTTATTTAGCAGTTTTTTAGAAACTAAACCGTAAAGTATTTTCTTTTATAAAGTAATCAATTCTTACATTAATTTTTTCTCTGGTTCTGATTATATATTAAGATTCCATGACATTCATACTTAAACAAGAGGTTATAAAATGTAAGTAAAATTTCACTATTGTTAATGATAATTTATATGATTGTAACAATTACTGGAGTAATTTCATGTTTTCAAACCATGACAAAATATCATCTTTGGTATCACAACTTCAAACAATTTAAAGTATTAAAAAATTAATATCCTAGTGTTTCAACAATATTATTATATACCTCTCCTCTATACAAACAATTTAGCATATAATTTCATCTTTCTGAAGCCTTACTGATCACATTGGCACTTCTTTTAGAGCTCTGCAGCATTCTGGATGCCTTTGACCATATGTTTCCACAGTCACTTGAAAAGATAAAAAGTGTGTCCATCATATATTACAGCAAGTTGTCATTTCCTCCAGTTTCCTTTCAATGCCCCTGAATAATTCAAGTGTTTCATTCTCTAGATTATCTGTGTTATTTAATTTTAAACACTTGAAGACATTAGAATTACATGGTGCTAAAGAGTTTTATCTTTTAACTTACACATATGTCTACTTTGAAAGTTGTTACTATTTATTGTGTATAATTTTAAATAATTCAAACCATTTCTACATATTTTTAAATTACCTCAAATGCAATATTCAATGAAAACTTAGGAAATAGTAGAATGGAGATTTGCAAAGGTGGTCATAAAGATTAGTAGTAATCTAAACAAATGCATTTCTAAGCACTGTCATTACATGATTAATATAATATGGTCATAAAAAAGTTATTTCTGAAGAAGATGCAAATGAAGAAAAAAATTCTTGGTAATGAAAATTTAGACAATTTTAATACACGAGTAAGTCATATTAAGCTGAAGGTTCTGATCAAGAAACTGAAATAGGAGAAATAAGATCACTCTTTCTACAACAGACATAACTCAAAAGTTGGAATTATAAGAATTAAGTAGTATAAAGAAATCGAATTTTTAGTGTACTTGTTTTTAGCATAGCAACTTAACTGTGCTTGAAAATTTTACCGAGTTTTTGCTTTTGCATCCTTGTAATCTAAACACAAACCTTATTTGTATAAAAAATATTTTGTCTGCCACTGCCGGTACACCACTGCCGTAAATAATGAGCTTTATATAATGTATTCGCTGTACTCATGGTTATTCATTGAAATCATGATTGTGGAAGAAAATGTGTAGTAATGACATGGCAAGGCAATGCAATGCACAGAAGTATTGATATTATTTCATGTTGTTTTTTGGAAGCGAGGGAAATGTAAAAGTGCATTTTACACACTAAAATAGAGATGTTAAATGTTTATGTTGGTTGTTTCTGTTATTTTATGATAACGGACCAGAAATCGCTCCTTGGCACGTTTATTTAATTTTATTTCACATTTTAGAATATGTGCAGTTGTTGTATAAGAACTGAATATTTAGTTTATTAGAGATTTTTATAAATCCTAATTGAATCCCACTCTGCTTTCTTTCTCTTTATCAGTCTTTGTTGAGAAGTATCCAAAACAAAGCAGAACAGACTATTAGTTCCTCAGCTGTATTAAAAAAGTAATAAAAAGCAAGTTTTCTCTTGGTGGAAGAATAAACAGTTTCCAAGCATTGGTATTTCAATAAGTAACTGTGACTATGACTTGAAGTATTTATTTACCTAATTAAATTATTTGTAGTGCTATTTTGCTGAAGTACACTTAATTTCACCAGTAATTTTTTTCCGACTTTTAAAAGCATTTTCGATAAGCATCTCAAAGACATGGTTGTGTAATTTCGAAAGTTTAATCCTATGCTATGGACATCACAAAATTGTCCTTGATATTCACAGCTTTAAAAGTTCAATGTAATTATTTAGTGAGTAGCCATTAGATTAGTAAGTTTTATGAGAAGAGACACACTGCATTACAGAAGTCCTTGATTTCCAATTTAAGCATTTATTTTATTAAAAATTGGAAAATATTAGTATTTATAATTTGTCTTTTGTCTAAACTATCACCTTCATTATAATTTTTTTTCTATGGTATTTATCCTTAATATTATGAAGCAAAATAACAGTGTAATTAATTCAAATAATTATTTTAAAATAGTTATAAAATGCCAAAAATTCATTCACATAACTCAAATTAACCTCAACACATTTCAAATTAATCTCAATATGTCTTAGAAGTTAAAAGGAGTTTAGGTATTCTGTTGTTCAAATGGTGAACAATAAGTTTCTGATCATTGCAACAACACCAAAAAGTAACTCCTGCGACTGGGGTCTCTCTAATTTTGTATGTTTGTTATGTTTATATAATTATTGTTGTGTATTATTGCTATACTTGCATGCAGATATATTTTTGGTATATTATTACACAATTTTCTGTAGTCACAATTGCTAAGAATAAAATCATGTTGATAAACCAAGACATTGGTTTCTGTAAATTGACATTTCTGTAGATATAAAAATTAAATACAGTATTAATTTTTAAATCTACCACTCCGTCAGAGCCTAAGAATTTTACGTAAAGTGACAATATTTTAAAAAGGAATAAAATATATTGATATCAAATATATTGGAAAGCCATAACTGAAAAGAGGTATACATTAGTAATTTAAACTCGTGCTTTGATTTATTGATATTTTTTTAAGAATGCTCTACATAAGAAATTAGTGGTTTTACATTTTCTTTATTGTAGTATTTGTTACATTACATTAATGTATCATTATGTTGCAATGTAACTTTATGTTCCTATTATAGGAGATTCAAATTTGAAATTTTAAGAATTTAAGGAGTTTGAGTGGTAATTGAAGTTATACCAAACTAGCAGAACCTAGCAGACATACTGCATTTCATCTTCCTTTCTCCTTTCCTCTTCTGTTATCTCTGTCTGTATCTTGTCTTTCTCTTACTTATGCACACCGCTGTCCTGACCTTTTTGCCCTCACCCTGCATCACACAGCAACACTGAAGCCCAGGTGGAGCGCAGTTTGAATGGAAATTGAATTAAAACGAAACACAATTATCTTTTATAGAGCCATCTAATGGTTACAACAAAATTAACAGCATAAACCTTCTGAACAAAAAAAACACTTACATGTGCCAACTTTCATGGAGATTGGTCACACAATGTCAGAGTTTACCGCTCTTATATGTACCAACACCCATTTTTATATGTATAGATATAATAGCCCATCTTGACCTATTTGAGGACAAAATTTACAGAAATAGGTACAGCCTAGTGAAAGAATAATATTCAGTTTCTGGTTGGCCGTGATGAAGACCTCTGACCTTCCAGCCTCTTTTACTAATTACCCCTCTATTATCTAGAACTAGTGGAGCTCAACAGCACACATCTTTTCTTACATTACCGGTAAAGGATACACGATTATATTATATTGCACCTGTCATACTAACACATCAGCCACTACTGAAAAATGCTAAAAATTATGCATCTCAAAATTACTAATATTTTGAAAGAAGTTTACATGAAATGATTTCAAAATTTAGTCTTAGAAAATATAGCATTGAGGAAGAAATCTTCACCTTCAACATTAAGGGAGTAGTACAGATTTGAAAAAAAATTGTCTTGGTCACCTCATAGTAGCTCAAACTTGCACAAAAACAGCTAATATTTTCAAAAATCTTTGTAACAAATTAAATTGTGACAAATAATGAATTCAATATTGAACTTGAAGGTCAGGTTCAAAAACAATTTGAACTTTTAAAATATTTGAAATTTCAAACTTTTTAATTAAAATTAAACTTGTGCTATTTGTTAAGCCAACATTGCTCTGTTTAAGCAAAAATTTAAATAATTAAATTTGTTCAGAGGATTATTGCCCCGTTTATTATTATTGATTCGTATGGGTGTATAATGGCGGGCGTGCAAACCTTCAACTATAAAATAAAAAATCTGGAAATTCATTTAAACCGGCCGAATACTTATCTTTCAGCCTATCAATGACACCTTAAAAAATAAATATTTGGCCAGTTTAGAAGAATTTCTGGATTGTTTGTAACAAGTTTGCACGCCCGCCATTATACGCCTGTTAACACCCTAATGTATCCTTACGGACAGGAAGTTTTCCTGATATTTTTAAAACGGCTAAGATTAAGCAGCTTTTCAAAAAAGGCAACAAAAATTAAATGCAAAATTATTGGCCAATCTCTCTCATCTTTTTTTCAAAAATATTCAAGACTTTTTTTAACGTATGAATGGAAACATTTCTTAGTAAATTTTGAAAATAAAAATCTACAGAAACAGACATATTTTCTTTTCTTAAAAATGTCACCTCATCCATGGATCAAAACGAAGCACCTATTGGAATATTTTTAGATCTTTCGAAAGCTATTGACGTCATTGATCATAACATTTTACTCTCAAAATTACCTTCGTATGGAATTTGTGGTGTTGCTCTAGATTGGTTAAAAAAACGGGCCTTAAACACTGATCTAAGAGAGTAGAAATACCTTTCTGGAATAATGGAACATTACGTACACACCTTTCTGATTCTTTGTCAATTGCATGAGGAGTTCCGCAGGGATCAATTTTAGGCTCCATTATCTTCCAACTATACGTAAACGATATGCCCTCGACGATTAGAAATGGAAGAACAGTTCTCTTTGTGGATGTTACAGATAATTTTGCAATAAAGAAACCGGAAATAGTACAATATCAGATATTTCAAATTAGTAATAACAAATTAATAGTAAATGATAAGAAAAGAAAAAGAGGAAAAAAACAACAACAAACAAACAAAAACAGCTCAGCACTTCACTGAAAATTAATGGTGTGCCATTGACTGGTGTTAAGGTAACAAAGGTTTTAGGTCTTTCAATTCAGTCAAACCTTAAATGGAACGTCCATTTAAATGAATTGAACACTAAATTAAGTTCTTTATGCTATGCTTTCAGAATTCTTTCAAATTCAGTCAGCCTCCACACTGATCGTTGAGTATATTTCGTGAATGTTCATTCCCGCCTAAAATGTGGCATAATGTTCTGGGGAAAAAAATTCTTATAGCTCCCAGACTTTTAGATTACAAAAAATAATTATTTGAATAATAAGCAAATCCCACCCACGTGAGTCTAGTAAGACTATTAATCTAGGTATTTTACCAATTCCTTGTCTATTCATATATGAATCAGTGTTTTTAGTTTTGTCAAAAATGACTTACTTAAGGGCAGAAATATCTTTTGAGCAAACGCCGTTGTCTATAACTACAACACTGGACATTGTAATCATATTTATCAGGTGATAGTATCAACAGCTCACTACACAAAATTCACATATAATACTTGGGCATATTTTACATCTTGCCAGATGACATTAAACAATTAAATTTGATACAAAAGTTTAACTCCCAAATAAAATCTTTTCTGCTCCACAACTGTTTCTATACAATTAGGCACTATACCGAGCATCCAAAAGGAAAATAATATTAATTTTAACAATGACATTCAATGTATTATATACCATTTGGATTGTATAATTGTAAACCTGAAACAAGTATTGCACTTCAGCTTCTGGGTCAATGACCCCCATCTCAAATATGTTTTCATCCAGTTTCTCTGATCCTCAAGCAAATGCTGAGATAGCCCCTCGTTTTGCTTCTGGACATAACTGTAACTTCAAAATAACTTCACCCCATAGCACGTCACACACAGTTTTTAACTGTTTTCGACGTAAATAAATAAATAAATAAATAAAGGGCTTTCTAGATTACAACCGGCTGCTCTAACCACTTAGCTACTGAGACAAACAATCCTTTGAATAATTATACATAAAAATTTTTAAATACTATTTCACTCAAAATTACGTCAAAACCGCTCAAAAAAAAAACAAACAAACAAACAACACACAACAGATTTCATTAAGATAAAGTCTGCAGGAGGGAGTGCAAAAATCGGTCCTCAATTGCAAACTTTGACAATTTTGATTTCAACGAAAATTGGACCTACACAATTTTTGTAAGAGTGTACTTCTCTACCTGCACCCCTATCTGGTATCACAGCAAATATGTTCAATGCAGCATATCAGTGAATAAAGGAAACAGACAGCAGCATGGCTTAAATGCAAGTCACTACTAGTAATGGTATCAACAGCAAGCAACTCATTGGTAGCTGATTGCAATGAAATGGTTAAAATGTTAGAAGCATAATTCTCAAAGTAGACATTTGATGCTTTAATTTTATATAAATTAAAAGTGGAAAAAATTCGCAAAGCCATTGCTGTTTGCAAAGTGTTAATTTCTATGGTTAAATGTAAAATTAGCCATATTCCAACTAATCATACTGCACGAGTCGAGTAATTTCAACTATGCAAAGTATCACAGTTCGTGTATAAACTTTGCAGAGTACTATAAAGTTTAAAGGCCTTTTTATTAAAATCTAGGAAAACAAGTAAGGACATAATAGCAGAGTATAAGAAATGGTATAGTTTAGCAACAAAACGTATATGGAATCTGATTTTTTCCATTAATCATTTGACACTGATACCAGAAATTCCAGACTTGACCTTTCTCATACTGAGCTACTTGGCTATTCCATTCACGTCACACAGCAACATTTTACTTGTGTTTGAGAGAGAAGAAGATCAATGGCATACGACAGACATCAAGCCCTCAAACACAGGATGATACATGGCCTTGCTGTTCAGGCACTGGTGCTCAATGATAAGGTTTCTGTCACTCAGGATAGGCACAACCTGGCAAGGAACCAATAATGGTAGACCATCCGGAAGTTAATCGACTTCAGAAGTAGCAAGTCTTTTATCCCCCAAAGGCAGAATGCAAATTTTGCAGGAAGGTGATGTAACAATTGATGGGATTCATTAAGCACATAGGAGGAGGCCTAATATCCTAAATATGTCGCCAAGACACTGCAGCCTCTGTATTTCAAACACTTCAGGGCTTCACTAGCTCTGGTTATAGATGATTTGTGCTCTATAAGAGAATCAGATTTTGGATTTGAGTGTGGTTGCTGCATTGGTTGTAATCTGTTTTTTTTTTTATATATATCAATATTCATTTAACATTCTTGAAGTTATATAATAACAAGGTCAGAAGAAAATAAATCTCAAATTTTGTGCATTTTCATCAACCAATTCATAAACATTTGATTAGTAAACGTACACATTCAGATTTTAATAGAGATTGATTTATTTACTTTTTGAGTACTCTGAAAATGACAATTTTACAAAATGTCATTTGTTCAGAACAATTTGAAACAGGATAAAGCACAACAGAAGCTTGACTGTGTTTTAAAGTCCATCAACTGCTACAATTTAAATAAGTCTTTCTGGAATTACCTCTCCTTTGAATGTGAAATAGAGCCAAGCTTCTGCAGAATGAGCGACAATACATCTCAGCTTCATAAATATCACTTTCATAAAAATTATGCTTATTTCTCAACATTATTTAAATGTATAACAAAAGGCACTCTGACACAACTGATTTTATCTCAGTTTTTCAGCACAAACATAGAACATTCAGAATAAAAAAGAAAAAAAGCACTTGCATACTCATATTCACACATTCAATAAATACTTGTTCTGCTTCTCCATTACATTTTAAAAATTCAAAAGAACTTTCTATACAATGTGCATTAATTATAGTTGAAACAACTGTCTTATTGCCTTTTAATTGTAGTTTAAATGCACCATCTACATAAATTCTAAATAAATGGAGCATAGAAACTAAACTTTGAGCATTATCTTAAGGCCAACTTTTCTAGGCACATTTGTTACCAACAATAAATACATAGTACCACATTACATAAATAAGAACAAAACAGTGTTACGTATACAAAATATAAATTTAAGAAATGTGCAAGTATGTGCATCAAGTATAAAAAGTGAGATTCTTAACAAAGCACTTCCCTATAATATTTCAAAGTAATAAATATCTTGGATTAAGAAAAAAATTCATTGCTAAAATCAACTATTGATCAGACTTGAGTAAGTTATGTACTGAAAGAGTGACGCACAAATTTCTATTCACCAAACACTCAATATCTTATACAAACTATCTTTGGAAGTTTCTTTTTAATACTAATACAAAAATAAAATTACTATAATCAAATAGCAGTTAAGGTACTTTTCTCTTCCTCTGTTAGTCCAGGGTGCCAAACATCAACAATGAGAACCAGTCTGGTTGTTGAACCATTGTGCCATACTTCATGTTCATAGCTGTCGTCGAAGACAATAAACCTTCCTTCCTCCCAGCTCCTGTCAGATAAAAAGTCAAAACAATTTGTTTTACAATTCAGATAATACAATTTAATTTCTTGGTTTGCAACCTCAAATTGTGTGTTCAGATTTGAATATTACTTGTATATATTTTATGTATTAAACAGTTTTTTATTTGGTCCTACAAAAAGTAAATAAGTTAATTAGAAGAGTTCTTGAAACTGATAGCTACATATAATTTTTGTTGAAAAAATATTTGGAATTATTTCAACAAAGAGCAATTTTAATTTACATATACATGAAAATGAGGGTTTTCATAATGAATGATGAATGAATGAATGGATGAATCAATGAATACTGGGACTGGATTGTCACATCAGTGAGCATACCGTATTTACTCCAGTATATAACGATTTTTTTTCCGAAATATCTCAGATCTTATAATCTCATATTACGTCTAGTCGTTTAGGATTTAAGTTTTTACATTGCCATTCCATGTCAAGAAACTCGTAAATGTTGACGTAACAATAAGTTGTGAAGACTGTTAAAATATCGCGCGTAAATGTAATTTTATTCGCGTTCGTATTCTCGGCATCCACCGCGAATTTGTCGGGCAATTCGGATCGGTATTTATGAATGGGCTGGTAAAGATAATCTCTAACCGAAGGGTATTGTATCAAATGAAACGTAACGTGAAAAGGAATGCCGAGGGTTTGTTACAAGATGCGGGGTCGACGAGGCCCCGCGCAATCTTGGTTCGACGCCGAATACGAATCTAAGTTTTCAACAGAAACGGAGACTGTCAACAAGTTCGGGACGGATAGAACATCTGGCGACAAGGGAATGTTCTTAGATGGCATCTGATGAAAGACTGAACAACGCAAAATTTAGTCCGCAAAACTTTCAAGAGAGGGCTGAAAAGTAGGAAAATGTCACTGGGAAGGACATAAATTGTTTAAAATAAAAGAAAAGTGTGTTGTTATTAAAGTGAGAAATGAATTACTTTTGTTATTGCTTTGCTTATTAAAAGCAATTACTACATTTCAAATATGAATAGACCTTTTTTAAAACCTTCAAGAAATAAATAAATAAATAAATAAATAAATAAATAAATAAATAAATAAATAAATAAATAAATAAAAAGAAGAGAGGTTGTTGGTAATTTTGAAAATATTTGTATGTGTACATGTGGGTCATGGACACTCACTGTAGAAGCCTCCTTTTGTAACTGAGTTAAGGATTTCACATTTGCATTAGGATGTTTCTTCAATTTCCATAATTTCTTTCAGAAAATTTACAAATAACAATATTGATAATATTATTAATAACATTATTATTATTATTATTATTACTATTATTATTATTATTATTATTATTATTAACAGACACATCAGACAGTTTAACATAAAAATTAAACAACATTCCTTCAGAATGAATTTTGACAAGAAGAATACAAAATGTAAATGTTTTCATTTACAACCCTTGTAGAAATGTGAATAATTGAACTCAAAGCCCAAATTAATTTTTCTGCATATAGGCATGCATGCTCATTGATAATATGTCCACGTGTGCAGGTGTATTGTTGGAGCCATCTGGCAATATGTTTGCAACTTCTATCACTGGATTGTTGTTGCAAAATTATAACACTAGATTCTCCAACAAGCCAAACCTCAATTTTCCAATATAAAGTAGTTAAACTGTTGAACTTATCACATTGGAGTGCACAAATTTTGCTGTACACTGCCTCTCCCTCCAACATAACCATAAGTTTATAGCAGATGCACAAGTACAGTAGTTTTGGAAGAAGATTCAAACTGTTGCAAGTTATGAATATACGCAGGAGCATACAATACTTATGCATTCTCAGCTACATCAAATCTAGCTTTCAGAAATTCAAACACTTGCTTATTTGTTTAGTTTAAGATATTAATGTCTATTGGTGAAATAAAATAAATAAATTTGTGAAAAGGTAACAAATTTGAGTTGACAGAAATGTGTGCCCTTAATTGAAGATACTGGATGTTAATGTACATCCTACAGGGAAGTTTAATACTTGCTGTTTAGCTACTCTAATAAATATGATTATTTGAATGAACCTAAAAACAAAGTGTGTCATCAGAAGCTTAAAAATAAAAATTATATCAAAATAGACTGCATACCTAGTTTCTTCAGCAACACGAATAAAAGTATTCTGGGGAACCACAAGTCCAAGATGAGCACGTAAACGACAATTGGTGGGACCGCAGTGGGGCCAAACATGTGTGCCTGGATGCATCACACTGAACTTCACTTGACCCCTCTTGCAGTATCGAGCTGCCGGAAACTTTTCAATGAGCCCACATGTCACTGGAGCAACATTGCAGTTTGCAACTATCTTACGACCTACACAAACAAAGACCATATATCATCTCTTCACAATAATATTATGCACGAAAGTAAAATGCATAGCATTTCTAAATAAAGTAAAAAAGAAGCAAAGCAAGCATTTTGGTTGTCACATGAAAGGAAATGGACTATATTTTAAAATTTAATTCAACCAATAAAAATGATACACACACAGATTTCTGCATTCCTCAGTGTTTTATGCACACTTAAAAGTACACGAGTAGTCTTTTTACATATATATCCATTCTATATATGGCCATCTTGAGCGTTTATCTTCTATATTTTTGAGGTATCCACTTGCAGTCTTTCAGACAAGAATTCAGTACAATATGCTTTAGCAATTTAGTCAAATAACATTTCAGAATTTAAAGAGAAGTACAAAACAAATAAGTTCAAGAGCAGAACGTGAACTTTAGATGAGCAGATTACAAGTATGCTAGGGAGCAAATCAAAAAAATATAAAAGCAGTAGAAGCAACAGTTAACTATCTCATAAGAAATAGCAAAATCTTATAATATAAAACAAAAATTTAGATGCAGTTTAATTACTGTGGGTGTGTTCATGTGGATAAGTCATGCTTGGTGCATACTTCATGGAAGTGACATTTACTTCATTAGAGGAAAATGTTTTCAAAATTGTCTAAAAATATTTTAGGCTTCCTCTAAAAGTCTTTAGCACATAGGAAAAGTGCAGAGCCCATTTCACTCTTTGTGAAATGAAATGAATATAAAATAAAGCTTGTACTTTATTTTATATTAAGAGACTTAATTTGAGAATGTACTGACGGTCAAGATAATACACTTTTATATATAAAAATTTGTAGTAAGAAAGATAAATAATATATATTTTTACAAATAATTTTCATTAGCATTAGCAACTGAAGATTATATCTCTTATTAAATTATTTATTTGTATGATTATAAAACATTCATATGAATAAATAAGTTCAAGTTCCTCTTATTTTCTACCTAAATACAATTCTGCTTTGAAATAATTTCTAAATTCTTTAATATTATTTTGTGAGAAAAGATTAAGAACTGAAGGTTTGTTAATTTATTTTATTCTATTAGTTAAGAATCTTCCAAAATTTGTGAACCGATGTTAGCAAAACTATAAAAAAAAAAATTATGTTAAACTGGTTTAACGCATTTTTCCTAATTAAAAATAATTAGAAAGTGTGGAATAATTATCTGCTCACTGGAAAAAAAAATTGCGAGTTTCAGAATTGTTAGAAATTATTTACAAAATCTCAAATTTAATATTCTTCCTTTCAAGAAATGGGTTACTCTTCCCAAGTTTGAGACTTGGGAAGGATAAGGATTAAGTCGCAAGGGGTGTTTAAATTCAATTTTACTTGCCTAGGTATTTATTCATCATATTCATCTATTCAGTTGGGAAAAGGAATGAATTCTCCCTACATTATATCCTTGTGCTAAACATCCCAAATCCACCTTATTTCTTTCCACCCTGTGCTGCCTCACCTGACTCCACTTTTGACCACCCATGTTTACTATGATCACCATTGTTAACATCTTGAAAATTTTGCACTAATTGGGATGTGTATGGAAATACACATTATAAAATTAAAATGTGTCTTCCAACAGCACTGAACTGCACACTCTAACACTGCACACAAAAGATGTACTGCAACTTTGTATAAGTGGGCATTTCAAAAACCCATATTTTTTTATATTATTAATATTTATACAGTATATACAAGCATGCAAGTTCCATGTACATTCATGGGAGAATTTGCTGAGATCGAGTAGTTCTTATAGAGAAGGTATGTTTACATAACATATTATAGAAATAATATATGATTTAATGTTGCAAAGACTAGGAGAATAAAACAAAGTTTTAAAGAGGGATTAAAAAACCAATGCTTTGGCTTTGACAAAAAATTTTAACAGTTGCAAATAAGTATAAAGTTTACAATATCTTTCAGCATGCTTAATAATGACAATAAAAATAACTTATTTTATTCTCCATAGTTGGCGTTCATTAAAATGTAGTGTTCATTAAAACAATTTGGCAGTTGCCAATGCCATCGGAACCCTGGCAACAATGTGCTAGTCTCACCATACTGCTCTTGAGGTTTCTGTCCTAACAATGAAATTTTGTAGTGTTGTACCTAGCAGACTATATGCAAACTATATGTAAAGTCTGCACCTCCTGTGCAGAAATACAAAAAAATAAAAAGCCAGAAAAAAAAAAGAAGAAACACAATGCAAAACTTGTGCTCAGAACTATGTTCACATATATTTTTTATTTTCAATTGAACTGATAATGTTTCTTCAATAGACAGATCTGAAGAGGAAATTCAAACTGCTATAAAGATTTAAACAGGTACAAAAAGACACTGCATAGTATTGACAGATTATTTCGTATCTGAGCTTGCATCTTCCCGAATTATTGTCCAATCCATACTAGATGCATCAACCTTAAAACACAATTACACCACCACATTGCAGTTGTAAATATAGATTATTTTTTAATATATACAGGTGAATTATCTTACCCCGAGCAAAAAGTTCTAATTGTTTCCACTGGCCGAAATCCTTAAGATTTTCAGATTCATCCTTATACAATGTCAAGCTAGTATTATACAAAGCATTCAGCCCTTCTTTCTGAATAGTTTTCCAATTGTTCAACAACATCCTGATAAGAAACAAGCTCGAAATGTATTAAATAAATATACAAATGATACAAATTTTCATGCAAATAAGAAAACAATTACTTGAAATTCGAGGCATAAGTGGTCTCTTCAAGAGTCCACCATGGCTGACCATGAAGTCTGTCCACATTGTACAAGGAACGTTGGTATTTTGACAAAAATAATCCTTCTTTCACTCCTAACTCATGGACCTATCAAAAAGTTTGATTTATTTATTACAAACAAAACAGCAAATCAAAACCAAAAATATATGTCTGTTTGTGTTTAGGTATGCACCTCCCCCCATGCATCCACAATTCTACAGGCTAATTAATAAATTACAAGTATTCTTTAAGAAAACAGGGATGCTACAGAAAGAAGGAACCATTCCATTGACAGGAGTGGGGTGGGGGAAAGGCACATGAACCAGCAGCCCATTTGAAAATATTAAGGACACGAGATATATTTGCAAAAATTTACATTTTTGTAATAAAAAAAATGGCATTCAAGTTTATTCAGTTTATTTAGCACTATCTATACAAAATGTTGAAAGAAAAAAAATTAACAGTTTTTTGACAAAATCTCATTGAAGCATTTTTAAAAATGTGAGATTTTAAGTATGTTGAGTTTTCCCAGAAAATTTACACGACATTTGAAGCAGTTGTACTCACAATTGTAATAATACATAAAAATGGCTGGTAATCTAAATATTAATGAAAAATATTTCAAAAAATAATATTGGGTAATTTTTGAAAAAACAAAATATTATGCCAGAAGGGCATTTACGTAATCTTATTGAATGGATTTAGCTCTATCTGCACAAAAAGTTTTCAGAAAACATTTGGACCAGTTTTTGTGAAATCATCTTTTTAAAATTGCAAAACTACTAAAAAACTAATCATAATTTGAAAAAAAAAGTATATATCCTTATTTGAAGAGTAGTTTTCCGAAGACCGAAAAAATTTTGAACTTTTGCAATTTTAGAAAATTCAGATCTTTTCATGAAACCAAGACCTACCCCCGTTTTGTGTGCGTGTGTGTGTGTGTGTGTCCTTTACGTTATCAAAAGACAAAGTTAAATAAAAGTTCAGAGACACTTAAAAAATATGAAAATGTCCTTAAGGCTTCATGTAAAGTTCAAAATAAAACATTGGTTTCAAATTCAAGGGGCTATGCGATATCAGTCAGATTGATTGGGGAATATCAATTTTGGAGAAAATCCTACTTATGGTTTAACTGCTAGCATTGATCACAAACAGACAGTCAGACATTTTGCTGTCAAACAATTTTTCAGTATCAAGGATCTACAAAACTTGGATTTTGAGTACAGAAAGTGTTAAAGGAGGTAATTTGCTATTTATAGGAACAGGAATTATGCACAATCTCAGTATCAGGGACCAACAATATGAATTTTTCTGCTGAAAAATCATAGTTTTTCGGCACAGCATTACATAAGTTTATATATACTACATGTGTAGTACAAGAAAAAATAAAAAACAGTTGACTGGTTCTTTTGTCCTTGGGAGTAATACCAAGAAGTAATTTATTAAGAATTACATTTAAATTATAAAAATAATTCCCAAAATGTGTGGACGCAACTCATGTCGGATATCTTTTCGGGCAGCAGCCATTACCCACCCCAGAATATGGAATATGGTAGCCTACGATTTCACTTAATAACATTTATCAAATCCACAATTGAAAGAATTTATAGCTGTCATCATGGCAAGCCGCTGAGGCACGTAGTTCATATGGCTACTGCTAAATCACAGGGTTAAAAAAACATGCACATAAACATATTTTTGGAAATTTCTTACAATCCCTGTGCACGGATCCACAAACAAATCATCAGTTCCCTGCCAGAAGACAGACACATCACATGACACTTCATTTGTCTCGATTGGAAGATGGAAAGATATAACCATGAGAGAGTGGCGAATGGATGCATGGACGGTGATAACTCGAATACAAGATAATTATTAAAAACTTTAATTCATGATTGCAACTTACAGAACATGTACTCAGGACATGGTGCATGAAACCAACCCAGTGTGTTAATGAATACATCAACTACTGAAATAATTAATAATGTAATAAATAATATTAATGAATAAAATAAATGCTCAAAAATACATTTTTTCATTGGAAAAAAGTGTATCTTGGTGTGTGTCGAAAAGCATAAGCGCATGCATCTGCATATCAATTTAGTGCATTAAATACCTTCATAGCTTCCTCCTTACGCCCTAGTCTCATGAGTGCGTCTCCCAATTGAAAGAAAAATCTTCCATCAATAGTTCCCATTTCCCTGCTGCGAATGCCTTTTTCCAGATATTGTACTGCACCTGCCATATCATTTTCAGCAGTTTTTAGAATAAAGCCATAATGAACTTGTGCAAATCCATCATTAGGCCACTTCTTTAATGTTTCTTGTAGCAATTGTTTTGCTTCATTCACTCTGTGAACAAGAAAATGGTGGTTAGATAGTTATTTTTTTTATCTATTCAAAAAAGTGTCAATCTGTTTTACCTGTTTATAATGAGATAAGTCACTGCCAATTGATTTGAATGAGTGGGTACATCAGGAAAGCGTGCCATTAAAGACTTATGAACTGGTACAGCTTTCAGGTGCTGTCCTAAACACGTCAAATGTTATAATCTGAGAGAAATTCTTGCATGAATGCAATATAAAATATTAAACAGGGTCTTAAGAGAATAAATCCTACAGAAGTCAAATATTATTCTCTGCTAACTGAATACTAGTTTACTGGTATTCCATCCAAGAAATATGACAGTGAAAGCATTCGAATGGTATTTGTTAAAAGGTCATCAATCAGAAAACCAAATTATTAGAGAAAAAAATTATAATTAAAAAAAAAAAATTACAAACTGATTAAATTAAAGTGTATAATTAATGTTACTTTGCTAGCTATGGTATTATTCTACATATTTATAATGATCCATGCCTGTAAAAGAAAATGTTATTAGATTAGATCTGATCTTTTTTAAATTTTAAATATTCTTGACTAACTTTTTAACAAATACTGGAATACATTTTCCTATTTTTACTTTTTATATTAAAATCTAGAGTTTTGTCAAAGAATAGAAAAAATATTTCATATCTATATAAGCATGTCATGACATTTATCAAACCATATTTATCAAATTAATGTTAAGTTTATCAAACATGTAGCCATTAAGTACCACGTTAAATAACAAAGTCCTTTCTGCTTTAACATTCTCATAAAACATGCAGGTATGTGCTGTCCGATTTTCTCTTTGACTATTTTCTTTGAACCTTTGATAGGAACCTAGAGGCTAGGCTGGTCGCTGGGATGGCCCTTAGTTTTGCTTCTGGACATTAATGTTTCTACACTATCTGTGTACTATATCTTCAGCTCTTTTGGGAATGTAGATATTCGAATATTCAGAATATTCATTTTATCATGGTGGCACATTTATTCCTTCATGCAAGCCTAAATCTGTAACTGATTTGCCTTTGAAAATAGTTTTTATTACACATTACATTATTTAAAACAGTTTTTATTACAATATATTTTCACATCAATTCTTGCCAGAAAAACCCTTGTTGCTACATGTATTCATAATACAACTTAAAGTATACGAGTTAGAACTGATTCCCAAAGTTCAAGAAACCATGCACATATTTTACTTCCCCACAAAACTTCACAGTTGATTTTTGACATTAAATAAATAAATGAAATATGAATACAGATGTGTAATATTACATGTCTGACAAAGAATGAATATATGATAGATGAAGTCTTCTTCTCTTTGAATTGTTTGAATCTCTCAGAATTTAAAATGGAACAAACTGTTGACAGAAAATGTGACTTTTTGGTTGCTTCTTGGTTTACATTTTGTCACCAATTCTTTGAAATCAATGTTGCCACTTCCTTTACCTCACATTTTCTAGGCTTAGTACTTCCAATAATACACTGTTACTTCAAGAATACTCTAATACCTGTTGTGTCTTCCTAGACTCTGGATTATAATTACAAAGTACCTATTGCAAGAAGCTGTCATTCCTGAGAGCAAAATGCTGAGAAATTCGATGAATCTACTTGTGTCAGTCAAAAACAGGAAACACCAACACAACGTCAGGTTTTTATTTTGGCGTGAGCAATTGTTGAAGATATGATGTTCTTTTTTACTTGGTATCTTAATTTTCAAGTAATCATTCCAAAATAAGCCTACCTCATCCGGTTCTTTACAACCATCTCCCTTCATGGCAAACAACTCTTACTGTTCTTAATATTGTTATCATCATCATCATCATCATGAATTGACCAGACATTAGGCTTTACAGTCTGCTTCTATAAGTTTATTACAGTATACTTGGTTGATTATTAGTCTTCCAAGTGTTCCTGCTGTAACCTCCTCTTTAGTGGTTTGCCTTTATCTCCCATTTCTCTTGGTGTGTACTTCCAGATTAATTTTGAAAATCTGTTGTTCATTCTCTGTAAATAATCTTTCCATCTCCTTTGAGACTGTTGTGTCTTTCCTACTACACTTTTGGTTTTCAATTTCTTTCTGATGTCTATTTCTCAATCTGTCTTCTTGTGATCCCAGGGAATGTCTTAGAAATCTCATATGTGCTGCCTGTAGATTTTGTTTGTCTCTCTGTTTCATTACCCATGTTTCAGACCCATACATGATTCTAGGTTTAGCAGCTAAACTGTGAAGTTTCAGTTTTGTTTTGGGATTCATGTCTCTGCCAAAGTGTCTCTTAATTGTTCCACACACCATTCTATTGCAGTTATTAGGGTGTGTTTTTTTTGTTATATAAGGTTGCATCAACACCTAGTTCATTAGTGGCCACTATTGCATTTAACAGTATGGTAACTGTGAAGATGACATGGTATGGTGATTATAGGGAGTGAGAGGGCAAACACTAATACAACAACCATGCCTGAGGCAGAACTCGAACCTGCAATCTTTTGGTCTGAAATCCCTATGGCATTACTGCCTTAACAATCTCTGGCCATCCAGACCGGCTGTTAATAAGTTTGTTTTCTATGCATTCCTGAGTTTGGTTGTATACATTTCTGATATTTCAAAGGTATACAACTTTATTTACTTGTGGCACTAATTTTCCATTTATTACTATTTTCGCTCTCTGTTCCTTGCTTGTTTTGCCATAACATTTGTTTTCTGAATTACTATCTTCATGGAATATTCTTGGGTCACTTTTGTCAATTCAAAAACTGTTCTTTGTAAATCATCTTCAGAATCCATTACGATTACAGAATCCTTTTTTTTTTTTTTTTTTTGTTCCTTGTCGAACTTTCCTTCTATGGTTTCTATGCGGTTAATACATATGTTGAAGAGGATGGTGATAATCCACATTTTTTCTTAAGCCACTGTTGGTTGTTAATACTGTTAACTTTCCTCTCTTAACAGAATTTTAATTCTTGTGTTCTTGTAGAGAATTTGTATAGCACTGTGCAACTGATTTGCAACTTTTTCCTCTTCTAGTATTTTCCGGAGTTTCTGTCAATTAACTTTGTCATATTCCTTTTCATAATCAATAAATATTATGCAAGTTGGCAGATTCCTCTCCCTTCTTTTGCCTATTAACATCTGTGATGTTAAGATGGTGTCTTTGGTGCTTCTACCCTTTCAGAATCCACATTGCTCTTCTCCCATTAAATTCTCACACATTTCATCGAGTCTGTCTTAATATTGCTATATACATAAACATTCACAGTAAGTTAAAGTATAAGTAAATTCTTGAAAAGAGATTTTTAGATAATGACCGATTTTGTATGATGTGGAACGATAACAACAAACCATTTTTTTCTCTTCTGGTCTGTAGATGATTCCTCTTGGAGGACACTACAAAACTTCCAACCTTTACATTTAAATACCAATAATTCTTCCAAAGCTGTACATTTGGCTACATCATTTAAATGCAGAGATTTAATTTTGAGTAGGAGTTTTCACATTCGCAGGTGTCTACCTGAAGCCTGTCAATACTATTATTGGTTTTTCTGAAGTAGAAATTATAACTCACATTAATATTAGAGCTGTGTTCCTCAAAGACTAGTGACCTCATATTTTTTTCATTCAGAGCTTTACTATGATAATTCTCTCTTTTTCCTAGATAATGTGGCTCTTTGAGAAGCTCTCGAATCAAGTTCTTCAAAGAAGACTAAAAGTGATACTTTGTTTTTACATATTTTCTGTTTTTTTATATGCCAGCTTAAGCTGTCTCATTCTTCAAACACTTCATTTATGTCAAAAATCAGGTAGAAAGATCTAACACATTGTTGTGCAAATGGTGGCCCGTAGGCCACATGTGGCCTGTGAAAGATAAAGAGTCAAAAGTTTCATCCAAGTTGAGTGAGAACATTGTGCGCTTAGCGCACGTGCTCTGTTGGGGGTCAATACCCCCTTAATGCAAAAAATGGTTAAGTTTCGATTTAAAGATTATTTCTCAGTGAATTTAGAAATTCAAAATCCTCCTAATATGTTTCACTGCATTTACATGGAATGCCTAATATCACACATGGTCGGGGAGGGGGGGAGGGAAACCATCATCACAGCAGCTGGGTAATGTGCCGAAATCAACAATACGGTGAGGTCAGGTATGGGTTACCTGAGCAATGAAAATATGACCCACAACCATCCTCAAGGTAGCCCGTGAGGCCTTAGCAGTTGGACATCCCTGCTTTAACATGCTCCTTGACATGCTACATCCACTATAACATGACATTTAAAATGTGCAGAATTGACTTTTCTGAGGTTTCTTTTTTTCCACATCCAAAACAAACTGTCTAACAAACTTAAAATAATGAAAATGTAGCAAATAATAACGGCAAAAATAAATCTTTTTGTTCTTTGCTTTAGAAAGTTATAAAATGCAGTTAAAAGATTAACACAATTGTCACTACCAATGGTTTCCAAACAGCATTTTTCAGCATATAAAAGAAATGGTTATAATACAATAAGAATTAAACATGTATTTAATGAAACCTTGAAATTATGGACTAAAATACACTAATAGAATATCATTTGCTTACTTGAAAGAAAATCCGGCTTGCTTTGAAAGCTTTGATTTCTTTATAATTAACATTAATTCTGGCTTTTCTTATTTTATTTTGTTTATAAATGTCTACATTTCTCTTCCTTTTACCACACTTCTCCTCCACTAGCCCTATCAATCATACTAAATGTTAACAACTTATCCTGAACCTGGCTGGCAGAAGAAGGGTTCAAGTTGTTGACAATATTACTAAAATGTCTTGTGTAACGTTAAAGTATGATGAAAACTATAGACTGTAAGGGAGTATTTCTTGACAGCATGCCTATCGTTTCATCACTGATATTTTGCAAATAAAGTAATTCGTCAACTGTCTTTTTGATTACTCTTTAATTTGTTAACAAATTTTATAATTTGAATGTCTCTCTCTTAGATAGGTACCAGAAAAATCTTATTGGAAAAAACAAGTTCTTCAATATGGCTTGCATTTACACTTCCTTGTTTCACTTCGTTTCTGTAATCTGATTTGAGGTTATGTGAACAGCTAGAGTCTCTGAACATGTTGTTGAAACATATTGCCATCTTTGAAATTAGCATCTACATTATTAAAAAAATTATTAATAAAACTCAAATTAATATTTAATCCTATAAAAAAATATTATTACACTTATGGTAAACATTAATATCTTCTAAAATACAAACAGCTTAACTGAAAGCGTTTAACCAAAACTATTAAGAAGAAAGAGAAAGAAGGAAAGGGAAACAGAGGGAATGACGGAGAGAAGGCGAGGACGGAGAGAGAGGGCGAGAACGACGAAGAGCAAGAAAAAGAGAGAAAGGATGAGGGAGAGAACGCATCATGCTGGTCTATCCTGTCAAAGCGTTTGGGAAAGAGAGGGAAGAGAAAGACAGAAAGAGACCCTGAGTTCAGTTTTACAACCAACTTGTCACACTTGCCCACCAGTCAATCACCTTCTGCAATTGTAAAAATAATGTATAAATTTACCCTTTGATTGTGGAGTTCAGTCCATTAAGACACTAAAAGAGTAATTTTTATTTTTATTTTAGTTTCAAAAATATACTTCCTTCTTAAACTAAAGTTTGGTTATCTGAAAAGACACCCCTTTATTTGTTTAACAGAGGTTCTAATGAATATTGAATTTTTCTTGGGCGAGATCTTTACTCCCCTTGGTATTCAAAAGATGTAAAAAAGTTTGGTAGTCAAAGGATTCAAAGAATGCACATTACATTCATTAATGATTTTTACTTCCATCCCAATTAAAATATTAATTGGGCTAAAACACTGCACTATTTAAGATCAGACTGTTGTTCATATGAATAAGTTATCTGTCAGGCTATGCAATATACTTACTTTACCTTTAAATCTCATCCTGTTTATGCAACGGTCAGCAACTTGAAGAAATAAATCATCAGGCACTATTTGACCCAAATTCAGGATTTGCTGATATTCTTCTATGGCCAGATCCAAGATTGGGTTGCTACGTTTCAACTCTGCAATACTGTCCAGTGCTTTTGCCCTTCCATAGCGAGCAGGCAATGAATCAGGGAATTTCATCACAAGAGATGTGAATTTCTTAAGGGCTGCTTCCGGATTCTGTTGAATATGGTTGATTTTTTGGCATCGTGGAAAGGAAGAGGTGAGGTAAGAAGGAACGAGGAGCAAATCTCAAGTTAGTAACACTTTCAAATATCAAATATTCAATCCCATTTTACATTCAAACCCATTCAATCATATTAATGAAAACTAATTAATGTATTTTGTTACAGGGGCCAGAGTGATTAGTTTATAAAAATGGAGGAATAAAAGAAAAAAATAAGGGAAAAAAGGATACACACAGTCATTAAATCAAGACCAAGGGTGTAATGACAGATCTAACATTCATCAAAAATGTAGGTATTCGATAAACCTAAATTTATTTTTTAAAATCTAACTGCTGGAGTATTTAGTACAAATAAGTATCCAAATTCAACAGCATAATTAAACTGATTACACAAATACAGTATCTCAATGTTTTATACTAAACAAAACTGCAAAAATCACAGCAATAATATAGAACTGTACAAGAAATCATACTAGTATTTGAAATCAAAGAACTAAAAACCTTAATACAGTTTTAAACATGAAAAAGTAATTACCAGGTCAATCTGTTTTAGAATGATTAGACATATAAAAAACTAATCTCCTTCAATAATTCAATAGAAATGTCACTCTGTTGCCCGACAAATCAATAAAATTACACAAAATGAAAAGAAACTAAATCATGCCAATTTTTAAAAAATTGTATACCAACATTTTTGGAGGACAATTTGATAAACTGCTTGTTCAATGCATGCCTCAATGGTAGATAATATTACATATCCTCCTCTCAAACCATCACATGTAGCAATTACAGTTCATTAACTTGAAAAATAAAAACAAAACTACTTTCAGACACATTATCTAATAAGAAAAATAATCCCTTTTTTAAATATGATTTAAATAACAATCCAAGAACAATCTATCTACCAAATTTGATAATTTCATTATCTTTATTTCACTTATGATGTTCATGTGGGTGCTAATGAAGTAAAGATAAAGAATATCAATAGGACTAGTTTTGCACTCATGAAGCAATAATGTTAAGTACAGCAGTAAAATGCGCGTCTACATAAATAAATTTATATATGTTTATATTATATATAAATAAATAAAAGCATGAAATTGGTAAATATATGCTGAATACTTAAAATTCATATGTGCTTAACCAATTAGAAACTAATAATAAATTGGTCAAAGGGTTTTGAACCAAGAGTTAAAAACATCAATACTAGCAATACTGTAAAACAAAATTAAAAAAATTAATAACAACACAGTCAAAGAATCATTAGGCAAAGGGTAATTAATAATTTGACAAGCAATTAAGATGCTGGAAGCCTGTTAGAGGATACATATGCATATTCAAGTGTAACTGAAAGAAAAGAGAGAAGAAGAAAAAAAGTTGGAAATTAAGATGCTAATTGCATTCTCAAATTTAGACAAAAAAGGAAAACTTGAGCAAAGTAAAGCAAAAGGGAAACTTAAAAGGAGAAAAATTGCCTGAAAGCGGTAAAAAGAAAGATGGAGGTGAATGAAGGATGTTTAATAGCCTAGATCCTACAACAGAAAGAAGTAATAATATTGACACTAGGTCACAATAGCATAACATTATTGACTTAAATTACTAAGTTATGAATATTTGTAAAATAATGTTTATTTTTGAATACTAAGATGTATTCATAAGTCACATAAGTTTACAGATGTGAGAGAGAAAAAAGAAATTCTTGATATTTTTTACGTCGTGGAACTAGGCAGTGTAAAACATACCTCGTCCAGATCAGCTTCTGCATTGTTTAAATCATTTTGTAGTACCCAGTCATCTTCAACCTATGAATAAAACCATTTCCAATTAATCGTTCACAAAATTTTTTTGTACCTACATTAGTAAGAACATTTAGATAGGACTTTTCACAGCAACTATTTATAAAAAAGCTGCTGATGACTGTATGCACATGTGCAGTGTTTGTTTGTGTGTGTGTGAGCAGTATTCCTTCTAAATCTTCAAAAACCAATTTTTGAAATTGTATCATATTTTATATTGGTTTAATGGTCCCGGCAATGCTTCGCTATTTCAGTGTAATAGTACACATTACTGGCCACGTGATTGTTAATAACGTTTTATGCTATGCTGTGCAAAAATTTTAATGGATGCAAGACGTTCAAGAAAGCATGGGTTTGTTTTATGTCCTGGTTTGGATATGGTTGTCAAGTATTCTATTTTTAAAATGTTCTCCCTCAAATTTGGGCATATGTTCGCCATGACACTATCTTGAAGAAATTCGATTTACTTGTGTGAAATTCAAGTAATAATTCCGGCCGATATTTCTCAAACGCAGGGGAAGAATGCAATGATGGCGTGCTTAATCCTTGACTGTACGGCGGGTTGCGTAGAAGTCAGGGGCACATGAGTTGGCATAAACGAATAAATCATCAACGCCACCACAAGTCCAATTTAATTTAAACCAATGCTTAAACACTCCCATTGCTAATAAGAACGAAGTGTGAAAATTTCAGTACAAAATGTCTTGTAGTTTTTGCGTCTGTGCGACGCACATTCTCTTTTATTTATGCATAGATTCTTCATTAATATGCAGAAATGCCTTTTAGTTATTTCAGAATTATAAAAAAATTATATCAAATTTTGGAGAGAGATGAATTTTTCAATTCATCTCCCTCTCAAGAATTAAAGTACAATGCTTAAATTTTGCTTGAAAAGGAGTAAAATACAAAAGGTTTTTCTTACCCGACTTTTCCCTCCCCCTTGAGAAGGCCCTTTACTGACTGTTCCACGTGCAGGGCTTTGAGATGGTTTTGCTTCTTCTTCCTCACTTTCGTCATTACCTGGGGAAGCTCGAGAACTTGCTAATTATGAAAACACAATCACATTATTTTTCAATCAAATTTTCAAATGCAAAGATGAGTTGCAAAATTATAGAGAATTTCAATACAACTAATTACTAACAATAATTACTCTGGTTAATATATCTTTTAAACTAGATGTATATTAAGACAACTGTGACAAGATATACAAATTTTTGATGAGCTCATGTTTGAATAATGTAGAAACCTACTACAAATTTTGGTCCTCAAACTCATTCACTAAGTTACTTTTTGGAAGAAATTAGGAAGAGGTTCAGGAGAGATCTCTAGATGTATATTGAAGGTTGGTGTTTTCACAATTTTGCTCTTTACAGTTCTCTGAAGCCTACCGATAACAGCCATATAGGATAATGAAAGGTAATAATTTCATATAAAGATCATGCTTTCTCATCTATTTAAGCCCAAGGGCATATAATTTCTTGAAAGGAAAAGGCCCTACTAAATGATATTTAAGCATGACTGGAAAGGTCAATATTTCTATTGATATCATTCTTATATACAATGAAAATAACTTAATGCAAACATAATGAATACTGACTTTTGAGGGAAGTCTGGGGGTGAATTCCTGAAGTTGAATCTTCCTCAGTGCTATTTTCTTCTTCTCTTCCCCCTTCATCTTCTTCCTCTTCCTCCTCCTCTTCTTCTTCTTCTTCTTCCTCCTCCTTTTGCAATTTTTGGTATCCTTGAACTTTGTCTTCAGTGGAATATTCTACTTTCAAGTCTGATCTTTCTTCTCTTGGAGAATGAGAGTTCTTGCAGAAAGAATTAGGTAACATTAGTTCAAGGCAGACTGATATATCAAAAGTAAAGCAAATATACAGAACAAGCATATTTCTACATGTATATTATTCTTACATTTTTCTTCTCTTCTACAACTTCATTTTCATCAGTCGACTCTACTTCTTCTGCCTCTCTTGGAGAGGCATCTTTTGGCAACAAGTGGCTATATTTCTTCATTATTCTATCAAAAGTATCATCTTCATCTTCTTCCACTTCATCTTCTTCACCTACATTTTTTTCTTCTTCTTCTTCCTCCTCCTCCTCCTCTATTTCCTCTTCTTCTTCCTCATCCCCCTCTTCCTCTTCTTCCACCTCCTCTTCTTCTTCTTCACTTCTGTGATCTCCACTTCTTTCTGTCATTGTATAGTCAGAGTGAGATTTGTTTTCAACATTCCTTTCCACCATTTCATCAGTCTCTCTTTCAGCTTCATCCTCGTCTTCCTCTCTGTTCCTTGATATGTCTTTAAGAAAAACTTCATTTTATATTCATTCAATATGAGAGAATAGTTACTCAATTCCAAGAAAAAGGTTTCAACAGCTAATTGTAGAATTAAATCTCACTATATAAAATATTACATGCAATTGAAATATCACCTTCATCCTCAACTTCTGGTTCTCCAGCCAATTCCTCTGGAATTAAAGTTTGTCTCCTTAAAATATGTTCTTCTGGTGCATCACTACTAGCAAACTTTGCTTCCTCCTCAGCTCCTACATTTTTAAAAGGAAGACAATTTCAAAAGTATTTTTTTTCCCAATTACATGCATACTTACTATTACACAAAAATTCCACATTTTTGTTATCTAGAATTAATGTTGTGTCACTCCAAGAAACCATACAATTAATTAGTAGTGCATGTTATAATTGTCAGCACTTCAGTATACTTCGAGATAGTTATCACAAAAAATGCAATTTAGTATTCTCACAAACTTTAACTCTTTTCTTGTAAGCAAAAGTTTCTCAGTTGTCCTCTGACTTTTGTTAAATACATGTTACAGAATGGAGCAACCCCAAGGAAAACTGTCTTTTTCTGATTATGGAAAGATTTACTGAAATGATATTTGTATACGGAAGCATCCATCTGAGATCTTCAGCTTATCACGTTCTAATGAAAATGCTCATCAATTAACATTTCTTCTTCCTTTGCTCCCTCACCAGCTCTGAAGAACACTAGTTTCATGTTTCATTAATTGATGCTCCTACTTCGGAAAACATTGCAGAAAATAATAAATTATGAAATTTTGCAGCATGTTAAAATGCACTTCATATTCCTTCATTCCACAAAGTATATAATACTATCATAGAACGTAAAAGATTTGGTTCTATATTCTTTCATAAATTTCATTACATGCCCAATGAAATAAAATGATACAGGAACATGGATGTCAAAAATTTGAATTGAAAATAATGAATGGAAAAAATCCTTTGGAAATTTTACAGAACTCAAACTGTGGATGTATTTCTGAATTTACTCCAATCCATTACTTCTAATCAAATTAAAAACGAATCATATTCCCTTGCACTAGTGATCAATCGTTAAGAAATATTCCCCTTATACAAAAAGGAGGAACAATTTTTCCAAATTAAAAAAAGACAAATTTTTAAAAATTAATTATTTGAATATTTTTCTCTTATTTGTTGTTTGCTTCATTTCTCATGTTAAAGTACAAAAATAATGCTAGTATTACAATCAATTAGTATTACAACACTGTAATACTAATATATCCTCAGTACAAGGAACATAAAATAAAGTTCCTCCTATAGAACACAAAACAATTATTGTTGGTTATTGGTGCAAGACTACCCTTTTTCTGTCATTACTACATTCTTCCAGCACCAAGCTTACATTTTTCTCTCTACCCATCCATTTAGATCTAACTACATCCTTTGGATCTATGTCTGAATTTAACTTTCTCCTCCTATAAAAATCAGTTAATCAATACTTTCATATGAAGATGCAGTACATAATACATGAAATTTAATTATTTGGTAAGTTTGTTTATCCCAACACTGAGGAGCCAAGGGTCAGAACCATTCCAATGAAGGTGGAAGGAAAGGCAATGTGTACTTCAGCATGGGAGCAGCTAGTAAGCTAGATGCACCACTATGGTGACCCTTTGTCTCTGCATCTCACCACACTGAAGAAAATCCTGCGACATCTAGGGTTGAAGGCTCCTGAATAGAGGTGAAAGGTACATGTCTCAAGACTGCATCCTGTGTGGAAGGGTTCCATGAAGGAACTGAAGTCTCAATTTTCAGAAAAGAAAAAGGAATGAAAAGTAATGATTAATCTTTATGATTATTTTCATTATACACGACTAGTATTGCTTATTCAAATTACTTTCCTTTTAGATTTGTTTTTCTAGGAAATAACGAACAATTTACTAGGTATCTTGTGTGTTAAGCATTAAGATTTTAAGTCCTTCATAGCAGTATAGATCTCCAATGTATACAGAATTAGTCTAAGCTATTTCTTATAACTACTCTATTACATTTTTTATAAACGCAAAACCCTCATGCTCTCATACAATCACAAAACAGATTGTCAAGATTCTATATCTTGAACACATTTGTGAACTAAAAATTTGAAAACAAAAGTTGTCATTCCAAAAGGGACGAGAGAAACTAATCAGTACATTGATGTTCATTTACTTACAGAACATACATCTTGTATAACAGAAATCCACACCAGTCAATGTACAATTAACAGTCATGTACATTAAGCTTTCTGGTCTACATAAAATGTGCACAGGCACATCTAACATGGCAGATTGCAACACAGCATTTTGTTATTTAAATTTAAGTTATATATGGTTAAGTTCTGCACACTTACACATCAGGCATCGTATTATGTAATTCTTCCGTAGCATGGCAGTTAAAAAAGTTGCGAATAAGTAAAACTGTGTTACACAGAAGCTACCTATGAAACAAACAATAAAATGCAGGGTTAGTATTCATGCTGACAGTGTACTGATTTTAATACCGACCAGTGTTCCACTTCCTAACCAGAACCATGTGAGCGACAATCACAAGCGCCACCCCCACACCAAATTTAAGTGCCACTGTAAACACATACAATATATCTTAAAAAAAAAAAAAAAAAAAAAAGAACTTAAATCTGTCAACTTGTACATCACTTAGTGAAGTATACAAGCTTTGCTATATAACAAAGAGGAAGATTTTAATATCCACTTGTACATATAGGTACTTCAAATTTATTTTTCTAAATCTGTTGTTAGTGAATCTTTTCTTTATGTATTCTTACAAGTGCAGTTCTTAAAAATCTTTGTATTAAAAGAACACCCTTTACAGATTTTAGAATTTTAATTATACTATTACTGCAATCTAAATTTACAGAAGGATACCTAATTAATTGTGTAAACAACTGTAAATAAAACACCTTAATCAATACCTAACAGAAAATTAAAGAGATACTCATGAGCCTCAAAGGAGGCTTATTAGGTAGCTGTAAGAGTCGACATTTAGAGAACATGACCTTAAATTCTCTAGATTTACTGTTATGACTTCTTGAAGAATGCACCATTTCCAGTAGTCTCGGACTAAGGTGACCACGAATATTAAGAACAGATTTTTGACGTAACATTCCTTTTGGATATGACATAAGGGTTGAGGCATAAGTCAAAGCACCTTTTTTTGAGAATAGGAACAGAAAGAATACGAGTAGAAAATGTGAAATTACACATGAAAAGACAAGGAATGAATTAAGTGCATGGACAGTGAATGACACACCAAATTTGTGTTCTTCATTTATTAAGGTATTTGAAATGGCAGGTCTGGTTTCATGTTCCAAAATATTTCAGCATATATGAATTCACAACATTCCAAAAGCATTACATACCCATTTTGAAGGCCTGATTAAGCAGATGCTTGATTACCACAAGTGCCACATAAGTGCACACACTCACGTCATGTGCATTGATGATCACATGGTTCCAACATGTCCTCACAGAAACTATCCTGCCATGTCATGGTTGACCGATATGGAAGGGCTTTATTCCAAAGAGCTTCCACCAATTCCCTGCCATATATTTGGACATTTCTCTCATGGAGAATGGCTAATCTTTGTGCAAGAGTGCTGCTCAAAATTGGTTACAGTGATCTCTCACGGTGGTAGCCAGACAACTCTTATCACATTGCTCTTGGGACTTACTTAGAGCTATTTGTTGTTGTGCTCACACATTAGTACAGCATTTCTTTCTTGTGACAAATAAAATTGAATGATCTGATAATATTTCTTTTAGAAAAACACAACAAGAAAAGATGCCATGACTTCTGCCCCAAACCTCTCATTATTCCCTCCAATGAATCCATGTTGTTAGGATTCAAAGAACACAATTTGCCAATATCAGGTATTTCCCTTAATCTCTACTGCAACAAATAATATTATCTCTCAAGAAATTACTATTCCATTTTATAATTGTGACACCAGAGAATAAGCTTCAAAAGCACAAGGCAAATTTATATTGGTGAAATATCAATTTGTTTCAATGATATTCTATCAATGAGACACACGTGTAGTGAACATGAATTCTAAGATACATAGCCAAGCAGTTAGCAGAAATATAATTTATTAATATTTATAAGAAGATAAATATTTTTTAATCTGACCCATAACACACAATTTTAAGTAAACATGCAACTCTTACAAAAATTTTGTAAAACAAATCCAAGAGCTCTGATATCTATGATAGGACCTGCGTTTTTGTGCTGCTGTGTTCTGTACAGCTGATCTCTATTTTCAAACTTTTGTATTAAAGATGTTTCTCTATTCTTTCAGTTACTATGTTTTGATTACACAGTGTAGTAATATCTACAAATACACACAATTTTTTTACACAGAAAATTTTCAGTAACACAGTAAACATATAAAGTAATTTTTTTTTATCGTCATTTCATTTTTCCTTCCTCTTCCTCTGTCGGGATTGACGCAACATCTCCTGACTCCAAGCCCCTTGGGTGGCGTTGAGTTTTTTGTGCTAGGAGTAATTCTCCATTAACATTCTCTGCCATTACGTTATGTCACGTCTCGTCGCAGTCAATTGTCACATTATTTGAATTTTTCTCCAAATTACAAATAACTATTTCTAGACTGCTTGCTGGTTTTGAACAATCAGTTTGGATTTCTGGCCGTACATCATTGTACACAGTGTAACAGATGTCACAGGTTTTGGTTTGTGTTCTTACAAATTAGAGCAGGTGTTCGGAACATAAAGGGTGTTTCAGATCCACGCCTGGAGGTAACTATAGACTCTTGCACCTTATCTGGTATTCAGACTTTGCTAGAACTGGACAAGCTAATGAAATGATCTGCGATTTCTACCTGCTCCTGACAACCAAACCAAGAAATTTTGAGAACTGCTTTATCATAATATTATGTTCTCAGTGCCTGATCTTGGGCAGACTTTATAACTGCATTAGATTCCTGCTTCATTTTGTCCTTTGAAATCACAAAACATTATAACAGTAATAACAATAATTGTTCTTATGACGAAGGTAGCAATGGTCACAATCCCTAATCGTTTACTTGTGAAATTCTCTTTTCCCTGTGTTTTCATCTCTAAAACACAGTTTTATTGATACTGGTACTTCTAATATATAATCAATATTATTCTTTTGCAAAAATAATGATTAGATAGTAGCAAAGAAAAAGTCCATTTGTAAATTGCTTTCATTATGGTGAAACTCAATTTTTTCAAGATTTCAAATACAATAAGAAATTTAAAAAAATCTTCTTCACATTTTACAAACACTGCATGGCAATATAGAGAATTAGGACTAAAAGGCAAAAGATTTATTTGATCTTGTATAATCTTATAAAAAGATATCTAACCAAAAAAGATCATTTACAGAATGACTAACACGCTGAAGTATAGTGCATTTGCAATAGCCAAAATGTATGACCAAGACATTAGGTGAACAACATTCACATTTTGCCAACAAGGGGAGAGAATGTAAATAATTGAGATTTCGTTGAATAAAGGAGTTTTCTGCCATTAACACATTCAGGATGCTGCCCACAGAATCTATAGGCCCTGACAGGTCGCCTTACATTACGAAACCCATAGAATCTACGGGTGCACGATTCATACCATATATCTGCTTATATTTTGCCATTTTTCTGTTCAGTGACTATTCATGGGGAAGTGCATGCCCTCTGCAGTGCAAATTACCACACCGAAGCCACTTATTGAGTATAAAAAGTAATGTTTTCTTCATTATTGCAATAAACACTACTATATTGTTATGTATAAAGTTCTAATATAAACAATATTCACAAGAATTGAATTAAAATAAACATGTTCAACTATTATTGTAAACATAAACGTTGGAACTTCATATAAAAGTACAAGATTGTTTCTTTAAAAAAAAAAAAAAAAAAAAAAAAAAAAAAAAAAAAAAAAAAAAAAAAAAAAAATCTTGCTTCTATGTTTATTGATTTAAAAGACATGACCCTTCAAATATACCTTAAAACATTACATACTGGTGCTGAGGCTACGACCTGAATGTGTTAATATACTAGAGCAGGGTTGTCCAACTGGTGGCCTGCAGGGCACATGTAGCCTGTGGTGCCACTTATTGTGGCTAGTGATAGGTTATTAGATAAAAATAAAAGTCCCCTGCATCCATTTCGGGAGAGAATATTGTGCCTAGAGCACACGCCCTGTCAGTGTCATCAGATCAACACCCTCTTAATGTAAAAAAAATTTAGATTTAAAGGTTTTTTTCTAGTAAATTCAGAAATTCAAAATCATCCTAATGCGTTTCACTACATTATGCATGATATATCATGCATAGTTCCACCCCCCTGTTTTAGAGCAGCTGGGCAAACTGCAGAAATCGACAATGCAGGGTCACGCCCAAGAAATAAAAATATGGCTAGCAATCATATAATATATATAGTTGTGGTCCTTAAGGCCTTCAAGTTGGACGCCCCTGTACTAGAGTAAAGTTATAAGAATTAACAATCAAATAACTTTCATAACTCCAGCTTCTCCTTATAATAATGGAAGAACTAAGTTTACCTCTTATTTCAGAATCAAGCAACTTCTTTCACACAGCTCACAAGGCTGAACAACAGTTATTGCAACCAACCTTTTGTATTTTGTTCTAGAGACAGGACCTTGGAAAATATATTTATGAGTTATGACACTTGTTGTTTAGTCTTATTGCTTTGAAGTGCCAAACTACAAAAATTAAGTTTTACTTTTATTTATATATACCTAATATTTCAAACAGCTAATATAAGAAAGATTACAGCAATTTTTCTTAATATCTGTCACAGTTGCCTTTTAAAATAAATGAAAGTACTACCACTTTATTGCATCACTAAAATATGTTGGAGGAAAGTCAATAAATTAAAAATACAACTTCAAATATACCATCAAATTGCATCACTCTTTCTACCTTCTAAAAAGCTTTAAATGAACCAAACATGTACAATATTACAAGAGTACCTTCCCTGTGAAGTTTGTTCTCTAGTAATTATTAATTCAACAACATTAAAGTTCTATGTATACTATCACTTGCTTTAAAAATGTTATCAAAATAAAAAGTAATTAAATTCAATAATGTGTCAGAATTGCTTTCTGTAGTATCCAATGTGTCTATACATAAAAACTAGGGATCGGTTTCCTATAAATTCTGCTTCTCATATCCCTGTGTTCAAATCCAAAAATTATCAAATGATGACACTGGTTCATGCCTCAGATCTCTAAAATCTACTTAAATTAATTTTTCATAATATGCCAAATTGCTGCTCTTACACTTACAAAACAAGTTTTTTATCTTTCAACTTTTAACATTACAGTAATCTTTCCTTACCTCCTAAAGGCTCTGGCTCATCATCGCCCTCATCATCATCGTCATCATCACCATCAGCATCTTCATTTTGACTATCATTTTCATTTTCACCACTTTCTTGCAAAGTATTATCCTGGGCATTTTCTGAGTCACCATTGTTCTCATCCTCATCCTCATCCTCATCATCACCATTTCCACCTTCATTGTCATCTTCTTCTTCTTCTTCATCATCATCATTCTGCAACATTCATTTAATACTAAAATAATTTTAACTCCAGTCTGAGATCTAATTCTTATTAAGCAGAGATTACATGGGTGGAAAAATTTGAAAGAATTATTTCTAATGGTCCGCAAATTAGGAGTGAAAGGTTTCATTTTGCTATTTTTAGATAGAAATGGACAAAATTCAATAAAGATACACAAATTTATGTCAACCTGCATGAGCTAACAGCTATTTACCAAATAGAAAAATATAACACATTTTTCAAAGCATTATGTTGCCATTAAATATTCAATTAGCATGCTGTTTATAGCATACAAATTAGTCACTTCTTGCGTTTGTACAATGATCAAATACTCACCTCTGCTGATTTGGGACCACTCTGATTGTCTTCTAAGTCCACACCACTCACATCATTATTATCATCATCACCATCATCCTCACCTATAAATATATATCAGAATAGAAAAATTGTGAAATATTAGGAAACTTGATTACATAACACTGAAATTTGTTTTCACATTATTCTTAAAGTAAAAGATATATTGCACAAACTGTACAACTATAATGTGTGTGTATGTGTACATGAGGGTAAATGATGTTAGTCCAAGTTCTCTACTTGTTGCATAGGTAGGCGGGGTTGTGACACATTGGTGGCGCAATGACATATTACAAAGTGAACAGAAATTCCGGTGTTATAATATTACATAACCATTACTAAGTGCGTGAAAGTGTGAGCTGTTGTAGCACTACTAGTTTATTCATATGAATGTATGAAATCATACCTTCATCTTCATCATCTTGGTTATCACCATCTTCCTCACTTTCTGTAACCCCAGGAATGGCATCTTCATTTGATTGAGTATCATCTTCAGCTTCATCTTCATCATTATCATCATCATCATCATTATCATCATGTTCATCTTTCTGCTCTTCACCAGAGGCTTCAGTTGAATCTGCTTGTGGTTCTGGGGACTAAATAATCATCATTAGTGAAACCTCATTACTAGACCTCGAAATTTAGGCACAAAAAAGTGATGAATTAGGCACCTAAAATAGGTAAAAAAATGTGCAATTAGGCACAATTAGACGTGAAAAGTGATGTTTTAGGCACTGAAAGTATGTTACAAAATTACAAAACAAGACATCAGGCATGAAACAACAAATTTCTGGCATTAAAACTAATCACAAAAGGATTAAATTAGGCACTTTTTATTATTCAGGAAAATCAAGTATTTTTACATTTATGTGAGTGACTAAAACATATTATTTTATTGACTTTCATTTCCTTCATTAAACTGTCAACAGCGCAGCTGCACCGGAAGTGGGAGCAATTGTCTAAGAAGTGCGTGCTGATCGGAGATGAGCTTGAAACATTCTCTTTATACTGACTCGCAGAGTTCCTTATGTTTGGAGTGTTGGGCTTGAGATTTTGGTGCATATTTGATCAAGGAACATTCCTGTTTCAGGAAATTTGGGAAAGTGCCTTTTTGGTATAACAAATTTTTATAAAATGAGTAAAAATATAATTCTTCAAAAGTACTTGTTTTAGGCAAAAACATACTAAAATATGCATCAACTGCCCTTTTAAGACATTTTAGATGCTTTCAGTAGATCTATTTTTTCATGATTTGTACACATTTGCAATTATTTTCCACAATCTCCTAATGGAACCAAATTGGCATTTATCCTAAATTCAGTGGTCTACTTATTACACATTAAAGCAATGCAGATGCTCTGATCTTACCTCCTCTCCACTCACATCCCCTCCTTCCTCAGAAGGTTCTCCTTCTTCCTCTCCCTCCTCTTCATCATCTTCCTCCTCCTCATGTTCGTCATGTTCGTCATGCTCATCCGGCTCTTCATGTTCATCATGTTCGTCATGTTCGTCATGATCTAAAATGTTTTTGATTATTATAAACTATGACAACCCAAGCTCTTACTACAAACCATTTGCTCAATCAATTGAAAATACTATTATATTTCACAGTACAACTTGTTTGCTTTTTGGCGGTTTAAAAAAATTTGCTTTGTTTTGTATTGTGACTTCTTTTTATGATTAGTTGGTTCCTTTTGTTCTAAAATAAAGGAAAATCAACAACAATGTCCCTGATTTGCTTTTGCGGCCAGGATTTTGATATTAGATTTTAGCCTTTCTGAATGTTTTGCCTTAATTTTGTTCTAAAAGATCAATAAATGTTTTGTGCAGCTTACATGTACAAGTTATATACAAAACAACAATGAACATGCAAAACAATAATGAAAACAAAACAACAATGAAAATGCATGATTTGGGGATCCCTTCTACCAAAAATGTGTTGTAGTTTGACTCCAAAAATATCTGTCCATGTGCCTGTTAGTGAACAACATTAGTGTGAAAACCACATCCATATAATAATGGACTAGATGAAATAACGACCTTATGTAACAGCTGTCATCTCTTCATAATGTACATTACAGAAGGTCGTTTTGTTTCACCTAATGATATCCAAGTAAATGTTAACACATCTGTATAAAAAAGGAGAAGGTATGCTCATGAAAATGATGTAGGTTCTCTGCAGTAAAACCTCTGAATTCTCAAAAGATGCAAACGTTTTGTGTTTTTTTTATTAAACATCAAAAAAGTTAAAAATTGTGAGACATGCTATGGGGAACGAAGTACAATCTGTGTAAGTTTTCTCAAACTCTGGGATGCCTAGATTAATATACTAGATTATAAAAGGACCTGTTCTAAGAAACCGTTGTCTTGGTAGTTTAGTGTAAACCAGGAGACCTGGATTCGCATGCCGGTCGTGATGACAATTCTTTGAATAAATTTAAATACTAGATTATGTTGAATTATGAGTAAAGCTTGCAACGAGCATTTTTTTGGCAAGATTTAATTAGAAAATATTCACTGCCATAAAACTTGCTCAATGCGAAACCCCAAGGGACCAGTATTTTTCCCTGTATTAGACAAGATTCTGTATTACATTTTACAATGTAATACAGTAGAACTAGTGATGTTGAAGGCCTCTGTGACTGGAGTCGTGAAAATGATCTTGGCTGTCTAGGTGATGTTGCGTCCCAGGCTGCGGTGCTGACGTTTCTACCATTGTGGTCTTCTTCAGGGTTGTAGAGGGCTAGGGATTTTTTTCTTTCTTTTTCTTTTTCTTTCTTTCTTTCTTTCTTTCTTTTTCTTTCTTTCTTTCTTTCTTTCTTTTTCTTTCTTTCTTTCTTTCTCTTTCTTTCTTTTTCTTTCTTTCTTTTTCTTTCTTTCTTTTCCTTTCTTTCTTTTCCTTTCTTTCTTTTCCTTTCTTTCTTTTCCTTTCTTTCTTTCTTTCTTTCTTCGATTTGCCCCCTTCAATGGCCCTGGAGAGGCGGGAATTTATTTTTCTTTGTGGATACATGTATTGTAGGGTTTCCTTGATGTAAGTGGGTCGTAAGTGAGTTTCAGGATCCTGCTGGGAGTATGATTTGCTGTATCCATTCGTGGCGAAGGTAGCTTTGAGAACTTTGCATTCAACGGGCAGGTTGTCCTGGTTGCTGATTTTAACTGTGCAGATGGCAAGGGTTTTCAGCATGCCGTTCTTAGTTGCTGGGTGGTGGTGAGATTCAGCGTGAAGATAGCGATTCCTGTGGGTGGGTTTTCTGTAAACTGCGTGCCACGCGCTGCTGTCATACCTCCTACTCACCAAGACGCTCAGAAAAGGTAATAATAATAATAATAATAATAATAATAATAATAATAATAATAATAATAATAATAATAACAACAACATAACATTAATTATAAAATAATAATAGAACTACTAACAGTACGTGATAATTATGGTAACAGCTACATACATATGCATTAGCATATTCCTTGATTAAATCTTGGAATGGGGAGGAGGAGGAGGAGGAGGCAGGTAATTTCTACACCTAGTCCTACTGCAGCACCTGAAATCACATTGCATGTGTTAGTCATTGAGGTATTCCTGAATGCTATAAAAGGTTTTTCCCCAAGGAAGTGTTTGAGTTTTTTCTTGAAGTTGTACAAGCCTGTCGTGTTTCTCAGATGTATTGGTGATTTGTGAAGTAGGTAGCTGGCCATTCTTCTCTATTTCCCTAGTGACTTTTCTTTTTCAGTGAGAAATCTCGTCTCGAGACCATACCCGAAGGTGTCGTAGACTATCTAATCCACATTGTAGATTTGAGGCGAGCGTTGCCAAGAATCTCTGTTTCGAATGCCTCTATGAAGATATTGACGGCAATACTCGTAGGTGCCGGGGGTGACAGCGCCGCAACGGGGACAGCAGCGCCCTCCAGCATAAAACGTTCCTCGAAATTGGAAGAAGGTAGACGCCAGGCAAAATTACGCGAGGTCGCCTCACTCAATAGGGAGCCTCCGTGCCTCCTATTGAGATCCTCCACAGTAGAACTTTTGTTTGTCAGGACCACGATTCATATTTACATTATACAGATTCCGCATTATGCCCGTTCCGCATTGAGCAAGTTTTACTAAATTTGCAAAGCCAAATGAGCAGCACATTTGCGCTCTTTTCACGTATTCAAGCCGCATGTGAAGTAATCGAGTTACTGACGCGAGAACATAGAGAAAACTTATTTGAAACACTACAGCAATTAGTCGCGCCTACTCACGCTCATTGCGGACACGCTACCGCCTCTAATTCTAATTAGTCACGAGTCGCTGGTCGCCCCTTCGCCGCGGAGAACCGAGCTAAAGAAGCTCAGTTGAAGGTGAGCCAGGGCTCCTTTTGACAGCCTCCCATCTGCACCACCACCCCACCTCCCTTGAGAAGGCACTGTGAGAGCGGCGACTCCACGTGCGGGGTAGCTGACCCCGTCAAAGCGACAGGGCAGCTAGTCCTCCCTTGGGACGCATGGCACTGAGGCCATATGAATCATCGTAAGTGCGAAGCACCCCCTACTCCCTTACGGCATAATGTAAATTACATATAGCAGTGCGCGCATCCGGTACACTAACGACTCTCGCTAAACACCTGAAAAGGACAGTAACTAACGTAGTTCTAAAGGCAGGTCAACCAAGGGAAGAACGCTTCAAGCCAATAATTGTTCAATATTCCTCAGCCATTTCTCGAACATTCAAATTTAGCAAATAGCAATACAATCCATCAATATCGAGAGGGGGGCAGAAGTGGGGGGGGGGGATTTTTCACGGAGGAGCTCCGAGCATGGCGATGCAACTTCACTTCGGAAACACGCAGCAAAAAGATAACTTCGAACAGTTTTCAACTACTTCAATCAGAACTTTTGAACACTAATTAGAAATTTTAACAACTTCGCATGCAACAATAACTGCCGTTCAATCATCCAAAGCTACTGCCGAACAATTAAGGCAGGATTACCAGATACTCGACGCAATAACGTGAGATGGCGTGTGACGGCCTTTCCGCGCGTATGTGAGACCCCGCATTTGCAATAACCCTTTCAACATATAAACGGGGCCTTGCTGACGAGCCTGGCGGTTGCAGCCGGTGAATTTGGGAAGGTGAGGCAGATACGTAAGACGGACACCGGGCGTTGCACCGCAGCCGGCGAGCCGCAACGCCGCCTGCGCCAACACCTGTATGCGTGCAATAGTCAGAGCATTGTAACCGCCGATCGAGTTAAATACCGAACCAAACTTTACTTGCCCTGTCCGTTAATAGGCTGTTAAATTCACTGGACAGAAGACAATTCATCACCTGTCATGTTCAGTTCATTGTGTGTACCATTCATGTTCAGTTCAGTTGTGTATGTTATCACTAAATTAATTATGTTGCATAAATCCATCACCCTGACGAGTTGCTTTACAAGAAAATTAATGTGCCATATTTAATTAATTAACATCATTAAAACCTGCCATCATCACCGACCCAGAGCTACTCAACCCTGAGATTTATAAAGATTCATCCAACGCACTGGTTTGTATCGCACTTACCCCCCAAACCCACACATGTAGACCGAGCTATTTCATACCATGGATGAAGGAGAGCGAAATCCGTCACATTTGGCGCTCCCACGTGGTCGTTCAAGCGAAATCCACTTACATTTGACGTCCAAAGTGCGTAATCCATTTCATTCGGCGACCAGCGTGTTAATCCGTTACACTATATTCCCCGCCGAGCTCAAGAAAACATGCACAGATAATGCAGCTACAATTATGTTCAGAAGCTATCTCAGCACTTGCCCAATGGATGAAAAATCTGATCGAGATGGGGCATCCTTAAGTTAAAGATTTTTGGAATCTCTCCTGTCACTACATTTTTTAAGATAGAGATTTCCACAGAATTCCCAATGTAAGTACTCTAAGTAATAATTATCTTTAAAATATGAGAAAACAAAAATAGGCTTTTATATTACAGTGGCACCCGATAACTTGATGCCAAATAAAAGTCTCTTAAACCCCACTCAATTTTCACTATCTTGTTGAACGAAATGCAAATTTGCATGAAAGGTGATATTTCTATAACAAGTATATCAATGTCATGAAAAAAAGTTCATATTTCTACTTTTCTCCAAGGAATTCCTTTTATTCCTCCTAGGTCATCCTTTTAATATAAATTGACACGACTCACCTTCTCCATGCTCTTCCCCGCTTACTTGTTCATGTTCCCCATGATCGTCATGCTTTGCAGTAGAATCGTCCACCCAACCATCAAATATTGGCGCCCAACGAGATTCTAAAATAGGATTATCCACTGAAAAACATTTAAACAATGTTAAAATTGAAATAGAAACAGAGAATGATATAAAAAGTGATAAAAGAACTTACAATCTGTGGAGCCTCTGTATTCAGTAATGATAAGTCCAACCAAAACAAGTAATACACCAAGCAAGAAGAAAAATACTATCTTGGCGCAAATATTTCCACCAGTGCCTGCATCCTTGTGTACATGGATATTTTCTTCTGAGGAGAAATTGTTGGTGAATTCTTCAACCACTTCCTCTGAAAAAAAATACAAGAGTATTCATTACCTCTTATTTGATAATATTATATATACATGTCAAAATTCGCATTTACTTACGTACATAAAAAAATCTTAAAGTTTAATTGAATTTTTTTAACAAAAAGGTGAATAAGCTGCAGCTGCTCAATGTAAAAACAATGATTTAATACTCGTTACTAGGATGTCTGGTTTTATTTTTAGTTGTTATGCTCCTGTTATTAACGATTTCTGGTTGAGTAAGGTTGAGTAAGGTGACTATTAGAAATAAATATGAAATGAAGAATGTGTGCTTGCGTTTGTTGGGATGTAACTTAGTGAACCCTTGCACAGCCTGTGGCCAGTATTAATTAGATCATCTGACATAATTATCTGGTCGTTTACAAACTTAAATATTCCTAGTTGGGGAAACAATAATCGCCTGCACAATCCATTTTTCGGCGAAAACGCAGATTTACAGAAACAAGGGAAGACCGTCCGCGTTATTTCTTTGATAGGTGAATGAGGGAGGGTAACAGACCCTCACTGCCCGTCGGGATCCCCCCGCAGGGGGGTCGTGGCAAAGTAGGTTGTCACGATCTCTGGTGAAAAGTTGTAGACGGCCACCCGGACCCTGAGTTTCACGGCGCAACGCACATCGATAGGCTCAAGGTGGAGGGAGAGAGTAGGCACATACTAAAGTCCATGTTGCCTGGGTTGAACGGTAACTCACCAGTTGGGTCAATGGCGCCTACCCTTACGGTAGGTTGGGCTATGGACGTTCGAATGAATGCTCCGGATTCCACATACTGAAGACTAGACGGCGAAACGGACCCCCGTTGGGTAGCCAAGGTCTCTGGACTCACGACGTTAGCCTCAAGGTGGAGGAAGCGAGTAGGCACATACTAAAGACCGTGTTGCCTGGGTTGAACGGTGACTCACCAGTTGGGTCAATGGCGCCTACCCTTACGGTGGGTTGGGCTATGGACGTTCGTATGGATGCTCCGGATCCCACATAATGAAGTCTAGACGGCGAAACGGACCCCCGTTGGATAGCCTAGGTCTCTGGCGATATTCACGTCATTAGCCTCGAGGTCGAGGTAGTGAGGTGACGAAGGGCGCCCAAGCCGCCCGGTCCTTAATTCAGGTGGTCCTCTGTTGGGCTCTTGGCTTCGTCGTGCAAGAAGCTCGATACTCTGGACAAAGAGGAGGGAACTGTTCCCGGTGCATTGTTTGGACTCCGGTACTAGTCTGGATACCCAGTAGCTATGAACTGTCAGACTACCCCTCCTCCAGTCTGCCGGTGTACTTGTGTGTCTGCGGAGGGTGAGGATAAGGCCTGAAGTCCTACACGCCCATCCCGTGGTTTGCGCCCCTCGCAGAACAAGGTGTGTGGAGCTCACGCTGGGAAAACGCCCGGTAGTTCCAGTGTCAAGCGGCAGAAAATGTCTATCCGTTGCTTAGCGACCCGGCACTAGGAACCAACAGAGCTGGGGAGGATTATATTCTGTCAACAAACCAACTCCTCACGCTCGAAGGAGACAGGCGGCCATCACTACGTCACGGAGGCTTTAGAAAATTTTGTAAGATGAACTTGTCGTTTAACCATTGACATTTGTACGTTCATTCTTTCAAAGCAAATTGTCATTTGTCACAATAGACGTTTGTAAAATTTAATAAAGGTATCTTTGGGAAATATCAACGCGTTTTCTGCGCTTAATTATCAACTTCTTCATTACGTTTGATCACCCCTAACCTCTTTGGGATGCGGCTCGCCCAAGTCGCCGGTCTGAAGGTCATTCTGATCCTCTTCCCGCATCTTTGAAATGTTGACTATTATAACGTTATGGAACTATACAACACGTATGCTATCGCCATCGTTGAGCCTAGGTAGTAACTCAGAAATTCACACTCCCCAACAAATAGCGACAATTCCTGAAATCGACAAATCCATAGGAAAGCATTCCAAAAATCAACGACATACACGAGACAAAACCATATAAATCACGTACGACATTCCCAAGACCATACGGATCAAACGACACGTACAGAGACATTTCGACAACGAGATTTCGACGTAACAAGGATAAAATACTTCTCAAAACATTGCAGCGACAAATTAAAGAACAAAGGAAATATGAAGAACCCAAATATGACGACCTTAATGACAAAAGCAGCCTAACAATGTTCATAAAATCATCCACCACAAGCCAACACGCATTCACCCATAGAAATAGCTCCAAAGACCCAGACTTTTGACGCTCCAACCACAGCCAACTCTTTTGCCCAATCACTGGCCGTGCAATTCCAACCACGTAACATACCTACCATGACGACGCTAGCTTACCCTATCTAAAATCTTCAACTATTCCTTTGTCTACCCAACCCCGAAGAAAGCTCCCGGCCCCCATGGAATAATCCAAATCCAAATTCATTTCACGCAAAACTCTCTCAACCTTCTCACTAAAATCGAGCGCCAAGACGCTACCTATCGGCGATTCCCCGAAAATGAACTCTTGTCTCTCACTATCTTACATTCCGATCACTTGGGAGACTGCCCGCTTATCCATGGTCCCTAAACCTGGCAACGATCATCGGCTACCCAAAAATTACCGACCTATCAGCCTTCTTTCAATCCTAGGAAAATTTTTCGAAAAAACCACCCTCAAACTCACCTCCATACTAAATCTCGCGATCTCCGTCGCAACATCTCTCCAATTACAACGCGAAATTCCCGTCTTCGTCAGTGATCTCTCACATGCATACGACTAATAGCTCACCACATCCTTTTCTTTAAACTAAAAACGTATCTTCCTATGTACCATTCTTCAACAGCTACCTCACTAACAGAACATTCTTCATCAAATATTTCAGAAAAAAGAACCCGTCTTACCCTAGAAAAAGCGGTGTCCCTCAGGGCGCCGTACTATCCCGTCCTTTCTCGCTATATATAAACGACATTCCTACAATAACGGGAGCCGAGTTCATTTACGCCTCTGACTTTGCCTTCCTTTCGAATCCTAAACAATTCCCTCAATAAACTCCACAACACTCTCCAAAATTTCGCTGCCTGGGTTGAACAAAACGCAATAAAAATCAACCCATCAAAATGTCAAGCAATAGTATTTTCATGGAAACGCACACACTCATACCCACCTCATCTCAAAATTAATCACCAACCCATAACCTGGAAACAAAAAAATCACCATCTTGGCGTCATCCTTCACGAAAAACTTCTCTAGTCCTCCCATCTTCAAGAAAAACTCCAAACAGCTAACCGTCTTACTAACGCTCTCTTACTTACTCAACACCTCCGTATCTATTAAGAAAAAATCCTCTCTGCTGTACTTATATCCGCTCCATAGCCACATACGCACACATCACCTGGTCCACAACCACCCTCACCAACTTACACCTCCTAACCCGACTAGAAAATAGAGTACTTAGAATCATTTTTACAAATACCACACATCTCCTTAATCCACCAGCCCTAAACCAAATCACAAAATTCATAACTGATCCAACCTATTTCATAAAACCACACATCAAAATTCTTAACTGAACCCCTCGCTCTTCTTTTAAGAAACACCCCTAAGATATTCTCCAATTTCCACCTCCACCAACTTAGCCAAAACAATAGAGACACAGAACTAACTGAATAGATTAATCAAAAAGATTGAAATACCCAGGCAAAAAACACATCGCTCTCTCACTAAAATCACCACAACCACACCAATATTCACCATAACCACCCACCCAATTTCGACAAAAAATTACCAAGACAACTGAGCAACCTACAGTCGTAAGATATCAAAACAACCCATCATAATCTGAAAACAAATAACCGTCTTTCTGACAACCACCCACACTCTTAGTCCCCATCTCCGTATTAGGGAATAGGGTGCGCTAAACCAAGAAGAACAAAACAACAAATTGACATGAATCCCGACAGGGATAGGCATGTCTGACGGACATGCCAAAGAAAGGGAGGGGATAACAATAAGGCCTGCAGTAAACGAGCGAATTTTTCTCTCACATCTGCTTTGCAGGAAATGCAAGAAAATTGAAATGCGATTGACTAACGCGAATAATTATACAAATTTAACATTTATGCATTTTGCGTTTCCTATACACATTTAAATAGCAAAATGTGTGGTTGTAGAACAACTGTACCACACAAGACACCAACCGACACTGATTCGGCGGAAACATGCTCTAGTTCCCGGACATCGATTACGGAAAAGAATTGTAGGAATAACAAGCAAGTGCCGTTCACATGATTCCAGGGGGGACGCGGTTGCAAGGCCTGAGGCTCTCGGTGAAGGAGGTAACGTCCACTCGGGCTAAAGTTACTCGACAGCACTCACGCCGTAAGCTTCAAGGTGAAGGCAGTGAGGTAACGGTTCGCCACCGACCTTCGGGCAGGATTGGGCGTGGACTTCGTTAGTTGGCATCCTTTATGCAGCCGGCAGCGGATCTCAAACCCACATATAAAGTCCGACAGGGAGCGCGAACCTCCCCGTCAAGTTCCCTAGGTTTCAGCGGCACTCACGTCCATAGCTTCAACATGGCGGCGGATTAGGGGCCCCCCATTTTAGCACTTGGCTTCGTCGTGGCAGTGGCCCGATACTCTGGACAAAGATGAGGGACTTGCCCCGGCGCATTGTGAGTGGCGCTTAATTTGACTCCGGTCCTAGTGTGGAAAGCTAGTAGCTCTGAGCTGGCAGAGTGGCCCCACCCTGGCTTAATTGAGGAGGTTGCTGTGCAGGGCCCCTGCGTTGCGGCGGCATCCGGAGACCGGCCTCAAGGTGTTCCTGCCACTAAAAGGGAGTGCGGATAAAGGCCAAAGAGATTAGATGCCCACCCCGGGGTGCATCGCCCAGTAGAACAAAAATTGTGAACTACGCAGGTGTACGATGCCTCTCTTTATTAAGCTTGGAATTCTATCACGCCTTACCCATTCATTTACGATCAATGGTTACATGGGTTTTAAAACTGACTTCAAGAGACGGCACACATTTTCATTCAATACAGATTTCAACAATTCTAATACATATTTATTAAGTGTTACTACCAATATTGCTCACTACAAAACAGGATTGGAAACTTGTTGTGCTACAGAAAGGCATACACTTTCTCGCATTTGGACTGGACTAGCTTTTCGGTTTTATCTCATCCTCCTCCCAGCTGCCATCTACTGCCACATAAATGAGTGACACGACTAAGAACATTATAGAAGATTAAAACCAGGTCCAATATTCAAATTTTCGTTGACATATTTTGAGCCGTTTTAAAGAAAATGTTCCAGCGTATCTGAAATTTGAAACTCAGTTTCTTCAACTTCTTTCGAGAACCTACATCAGAAATTATTTGAAGCAATTGTACTCACAAATGCGATAATGTATAAGAATTGTCCGATTTTCACTGTTAACTTCGAAATTTCGGAATTTACAAAAGTTTGAATTTTTGTCAGAGTCTTCCTACATTTATAATCTTAAAGATAGCAATTTTTCTTCAAATGTTTGTTCTCCATCATCAGTTCTGTCATTAACTCATATACATGTTTAAAAATTGTTATGTAGCGATTCGAGCAATTTTGATTGAAATATGACCGATAATAAAAATTAAAAAAATATTTTCTCAAAGGAGCCTCCAATTGTTTCTATAAACGTTTAAAGTGATAGTGCTAAATGCCGTGACCAAATGACATAAATGCCATTTCGCTGTATTTTTTTAAAGAAAATTACACAAAGGTAATATTTTTACATTACCGGTGATTTGTATACGTTACTGCATTTGTACACGAGTACCAGTGTGATGTCTAATAAAGTTTCTCAAAAGATCAAAACGACTCGGTGAAAATGTGCTCGAAATTCAGTATTTTTAGATACGCTCAAACGCAGTTTTCAGGAAAATTGGTCCAATCTTATCTTTACACGTTTTATGCTAAAGCGGATTAAGTGTGGATAGTGTTGTTTTCGACCATCTTTGATAATGCGCGTATTGAGATCGTTTGAAACGTCCCTTATGTAAATATTAACAACATAAGTTATAAAAAATTACGTTTACGGGATTTTGAATAATTACAAGAATAAATGAAATTGGCAGCAATGTCATGTTATTCAGTGCATTTAGTACTATCCGTACAAAACGATTAAAGAAACTATTTGTATCCACGATTGACTGGTAATGCCGGGAGCGTCAATTACTGTCATTAGTCCCGTACATGTAATGTGGTTTATCGCGGGAGGTGGCGGCCCGCTGGATGGCGAGATCGCGCGCCGAAGTACACGTCGACTTGTGAAGTTTTCCCACAACCAGGTATCTCCCAATAGAGGGGCACTGCTCTAACCGGTGCAAGCTCTAATCTCCCGACATGTGTGGTAGTGTATTGCATGGCAGTGTAGTGTGTAATTAAGGCAGGGTTGTCCAACTGGCGCCCTGCGATGCCATTTATTGTGGCCCGCGGAACTTTATTCGTATTACAAATGTGAAAGTCCCTTGCTTCCAGGTCAGGCGTGAACATTGTGAACCTAGTGCATGCGCCCTGTCGGGTCAACATCCCCTTAATGTAAAAATAGGTTCAGTTTAGATTTAAGATTTTTTTAGTAAATTCAGACATTCAAAATCCCCCCAATGTGTTTCACTGCGTTGTGCGTGGTTCCATTACCCCGCCCTCTATCAAAGCAGTTGGGCAAACTGCCGAGATCAACAATACGGGGTCACGAGTGGATCGTCCGAGTAATGAAAATGGGGCCCGCAACCAAATTTAAGGTTTTAGTTGTGGCCCTTGACGCCTTGCAAGTTGAACACCCCTGAATTTAGAGATGAGAATAGGATAAGGAAGAGGGCGGAAAGATGGCGCGCGGTCCGTGGCCCGTTTGAGTACTGCTCCAGCACTCGCCTGGAGTTGATCAGAGAATGTGGAAAACTACCGATCAAAGCAGCCGGTCGCTAGATTTCCCCTCCACACAGCGGCTGCATAACTACGCTACTAATATCGAAAATCTTTCCACCGTTGTTTAAATTTCCAACGCAGTCTAAACATTTGTGCATAGTGGAAGATGTCTTTCCACCGTGCGTTTGTGCAAAATCTTTCTCGACTTCACCCCCTATGCAGGCGCGGATCCTCAGGGAGGGAAATCTCCCCCTAACATTTTTCAGTAACTATTAATTTTAACTTAATCACGAAACTTTCAAGCAAATATATTTTCGGATAATCATCAAAACGAATAAAATCGTATCACAACATGATCTGAGTGTAGCCTGCGATATTTTACAAAATCGGTAATATAACACATTCGACCGCAACATTTTGAATTTCCCCTCCCAAAATTTGACTCTGGATCCGCTCCTGCGACCGCTGTTCCGTAAGATTTGTCTTTGTTTCTTCCAAATGTCGTGAATTTCACACATACCTACAAAAACTTCGTCTTGGGACTACTTGTGAACTACTTCAGAGAATTTAGTATTTACTAGACTGTCCGGGTGACGCCGCGTCCATGGCGAAGGTGCCGACGTTTCGGTCGCCATTCTGCCATTGGCATTACGCCCTGAGGAAGGTCGCAGAATGGCGACCGAAACGTCGGCATCTTCGCCATGGACGCGGCGTCTCCCGGACAGCCTAGTAAATACCGACTCCGGCCGCGGAAGCCTACGCTCTTACTTCACAGAATATGCACTACATAAGGGCGCAAGCGGCTAATGTCTTTGTTAAACAAAAAATGTTATTTTTGATTATTTTATGGTGCAATCTGAGAGCTGAAAAATAAATAAAGGTACTGTGTAATTTGAATCGAGGTGCATCTGTCTCTCACAGTGTGTTAGTGCAAGACAATCTGGAATGCAATGGTGAAAAGGGCACAGTTAATAACTGTTAATATCGACCAAAGTCATGCTTTATTTCATATTTAATTTAAATATCCTGAAATATTTCACAAATTTTGTCATGAAAAAATAAGGAAATGGTTTGGATAACATGGTCAAGTCAGGGAAATTCGTCCTTGAAAAAGAACGATTATTATTCATACCATTCACTTGATATTCTCTTTACATGTATAAAAATAAAACAAACATATTTCGAATGACCTGAATTCCATTGTTTGTTATCCTAATAGGAACCCTACCCTAAAATCAATTCGCGGTCCCCAGTGCGAAAATCTTTTCCTAATATTAAAGGAGATTAAAACACACACAAACTTAAATTTAGTATAAATAAAATAAATAGTATTCTACTATTCATTGTAATGGATTATTAACACAGGAGTTTGATTTCGTCCGCGAACACTGTCATTTTTGACGTGTTAAATGAACCCGACATTGAAGGCCCTCCCACCTCTTTACAGACTTTCTGCGGGTTTCCTTGCAATAGTATTTGTGCTTGGCAATCACGAACTCGAGCATCAACATATCCCACGGGTGGGGGGATAGGTGGGAGCTGGAGCTCGAGCACGTGCACTTGCACATGCACTTACTCGGGGACACCACACGCCGCCTACTAGCGACGCTCCTAAATATAGCCTGGCACTGCCATCAGGTGCCGGCCACCAAGTTATGCTTTGTCTCTTTGCTTTCTTTACAACTCATGGATACAAGACCTTTACAAAATGAGAGAGGTTGGAAAACTGAAGGCAAGTCGAACTCGAGATTTGTAAATAAACTCACAACTGAAGCAAACCAAAGCATTTTTTCAAAATACAGATCAAGTCATTAAAATCATTAATAAATATGAAATAATTATCAAACTTATATAAATAATATGCTTTCCATTCTAAAATTAACTGGTATTTTTAACTTTATCTTATAATCTGTAAAGTGCATAAAAACAGTATATTAAATAAATAACATTTGAAGTATTTTACAATTTTTCCATCTTTGCAGATTAATTTCAAACTGCTTCTGAATGAGCATACAAATATTAATATGGTTCATTTGGTATTTGTCCTTAATGTAGTACTGAATTCCTTTCCTTTTTTTTTTTTTTTTTTTTGCTCCTGCCTGAAATAGTTGGATTCATCCTCCCTACCCGTCTGGCCAAACTCGGACTCCCTAGGGGACATATCAGTTGTACAGTTCCAAGGCCCTCTGAGCATTTGGGCAGCTTGGCTCTTTTACAGGCCTATTATTAGCTCTTCAAGTGAATACCAAACTATAGTAACTATCTAGACCTTACAAATATTAAGCTTTACAGTTAGATTGCAATGTGATTATAATTACCCTGGAAATTAAATCAACTCATTTATATAAGAACTAAATAACTTGTTCATATTAATATTATAATCTCTCTTCAATCATAATAAGGGCAAGCATTAACACATTTACACATAAGTATACATTAACATACTTAATCCCATAAGGTTAATTAGCCGGATTACAAAAAGAGTACTAATCTCACATTGTAACTCATCAACATTTTATTAAATAACACAACTGGGGGCACAAAGGAAGCAAAAAAGATGAACAGAGTGAAAATGATGACTTTCAAGAAATAAAAATTACAGTCTGGTGTTCATGCTACATTCGAGAATGGTAAATTTTAATTTTTAAAAATTGGAGGAATTCAACTGAATCACGAGCGGCATTTCTAATGAAATGTGGCCTTACGCGCAGAATGTCAGATTATTTATTTACTTCTCTTGTTCTAACCGCGTAAGTCTTTAGAAATATTTCTCCAGCAACAATAAGCATACAAGTCTGGAATACTCTAACTCTCTTCGGACGGTTAATATCACCACATAGTTTTCGCCCTTTTTGTAGAACATTCTAAAAATAACCTCACCTTCGCGCGAGAGGCTTCCTCATGAACGTAAACGACTACCTACCTTTCTTCTTCCTTTTCTCTTTGCGTTTTCTCGGTTGCACGTCTCCCGACATTTTCGAACGTCAGCGGCGGTGCGCGCTTCTCGATTATTAAATTTCGTGCTTCGGGGACGTCTACTTCATTTGGTGAATCGATGCAAAATGCAAAATAACGGACACTCCAAACCCACTCACACGCTTGTGACCCGGGCCGCTCCGCGCCGCGTGCGACATACTAGCCAGCCAGCCGCCGGCAGGGCGGGCCCGGGCAGACCACAGCGACGGAGGTTACTACCCAGTCAAAGAAGTCTCTTCTTGGAGATTCTTTCGTTTTGCGAATGCCTTTCCCAATCCGCGTTTAATTGTGCGGATGTCCCTTTCCAAAATTTCGTAAAAGTATTACTTGGAAACGAAATAGGGTTATTCGTGCGTTTAAGGGAAAAAGTATATTTGTTTACTTCTCTTTATTGTTTAATTAGCATTCATTATTCATTGGTTCACCCGTTGTAGATGTTCACAACGAAATGAAAAGCGAATAGTTTAATATTATAACGGCACACGTCTCTCAAAATCACGCAGCACCTGTATTTTTAGTACAAGCATTTCCCATGTACTCCCACACGTCTCGATTGCACACCAGGTTGCACGGAATAAATAGGCTCGATGCGCATCCACATGCGCCAAATACAATTCGAAATGACACTATCTTCATTTGCTATTTGTTCTCTTTCTAGAAAGTGAAATAAATTGTTTTCACACCCAAATAAATGTTCAGATATAGGGGCGGATCCAGCATTTTGGGAGCGGCCATCATAGATTTTTGTTAAATAATAAACATATTTGTTTTTTATATTGCATATTATTTATGTCCTGTGGACATTATACTATACAATATCGTTTAAATATTTATATAATTCGAACATAAATAAATATTTAAATCAATTTTGCCAAATAAAGGAAGGTGAACTCACGGCTTTTTTTTTGGGGGGGGGGGGCGCATGCTCTCCCCTCCTGGATCCGTAGGGAGCAGAGAAGTGACACATGCTGCAGATTTTATACAAATTAATGCGTAAGCAACAAAATAGTTGGGATGTTTTTCCCCTCTTTATAGTGGAAACACAATTGCGCCACAAATAGCATTCGAACCCCCACGGGTCAACACATTGAAGTTCATTTCCAGAGTACCTATGCTCAGGACCATATTTAGGTACTGCCCCCACCCTTCCCAGAAGAGTAATTCAGATTTAAAAAACAAACCAAAAAAAACATTCATTGTAATAGAATAACATTTTGAATGGTACTGTTTGATTAACAATTATACTTATTACAAACATTTTATGAATCTATTGCGAGGAACAGGGCGAGGCCATAAGCAACTGCTTATTTAATTTGTAATTAAATCCACCCCAGCCACAGATTGTTCCAGAGTCCACTAGACATTTTCTCCCTGTATACTACTTACCTGAGTAGAGTATTACTCACTTCAATGAACTTGCCTTATTGCTGTTTTGAATCAACCAGATACATGATAAGAATTCTATAATATTTCCAATTTTTTGCTTTTAGGGAATGTAATGAGTAAATAAAAATAAACCTCTGTCTTTTTACATTAGTTGGAAAGAACAAAACAAAGAAAGTCATACTTACCACTGTTGTTGTTAATTTAAATACCATCAATAGGACCAATTCTTCCAATGGTTGACATTGTGTTAACATGTGCAGTCGTTTAACTAAACCTTATGCATCTAATTCAGAAAAATCATGAAAGGAAAATACAATTTTTCAAGAGTTGTGCAATTTAAAATATATATTTCAGATATTCCAATATTCTAACACACAAGACATTCCTGCATGTCTTAATAAACAAACTTCATTTTTTCTTGCCATTGGCAGGAGGTATTATTAACTTATTAGTGGACGCATCTGCTTAAAAGCAGACACCATTTTATTAATATTTTGTAATATGTTGTTTAACATTTTAAATTTACATTGTTTGAGTGTTAGGAGCTAAGGCCTCAAGTGTTCATATGCAGACATAAAAAATCTCTCACTATATCATATTCAACATGTGAACAAGTTTGAGTGCAAGGAGTAAATTATAGCCATTACATTAATACTATTGAACTAATGTTGTTTTTAAATTAAATAAAATGAAATATTAGATGTGTACTGATTATAAAAATGCATAATTTGTACTATTTTTGTTTTGTTATACTTATACCACAGCTGAAATTTTTGGCTGTGTCAGTGGACTCCATGCATCCAGGACACTTGCAAAACAAAGTCTCATGTGAGCACAAAATACTCTTCGTTTCACTCTTTCCATGAATGAAATTTTAGAAAAGCTGAAGATAAATAACAGAGATAAGAAGAAACTTCTAATATATTGTCTGTTGGTCAGGATCTAGTTTCACAAACACATACAGTAATTCATGTCATATAAGCTACAGGAGGTTGAGAATGAACTAGTCTGTAGTGACATACAGATAAAGAATTAGAAAACGTATTATCATTCAAGTTTTGGTTATTGTAGCACTTCTAAATGCTGGGTTGATGTACTGACAAAATAATGTAGGAAATGATTCTAGAACGTTCTGAAAAATTTTGCCACAATGCTTGCATGGGTGTGAAAACAAGGACAGAAATCCCAAGGAAAGTATTACTGAAAAACTGTTAAATATATTTGTTATCAGATGATTAATCACTGGGCCCGGCAAAAAACACCATATACGCATACTGGGCACGGTAAAAACGTTGGAAGAGGAAATCAAAATTTATTTGCAGAAAATGCAACATAGTCATCCACATCCTGGTTGTTACAAGCAATTCCTGTGGCTAATGGATGCATAATTTTGCTTCTTTTCGGACATTGTAACCAATAAATGTTATCTGCAGACTATAACCTCATCTGACACTCACCTCTTGAAAGTTGTAAAGTTTCCAGCTTTTGGCACTCGCAGCTTAACACGTTCATTCATGGCCAGAATAAGCTCATTTATGTGCTCTGCTGACACAACTAAGTATCCTCTGTGCACAGCATCCACTGAAATGGATGGCTGATTTCTCAAAAACTATGATTCAAAAACTTTATTTGAGCATTGATTTATGATAAACAAAGACGTTTGACACGATTACTAGCAAAAAAAAAAAAAAAAATATTTCAAAAGCCTTTATGCATCAATGGGTTAAGGTAAACTACATTAATGACTCACGTTCAATTAAAATTAAAATCGTCAGTCAGTTTCTCAATTGTAACAAATAAATGATTTATTTACAAGAAAGATGTCCGAGTTGAGTCCAGAATACACTATTTTTTGTAATTACATGCTGCCCAAATATTTCTGAAGATATTTGCATATAATATTATCTATTGGTTCAACAGATTAAAAAACTATTGTATTATTATTATATAAGCAGTACAGCGACAATTCTCTGATGCTATAATGTCAAAAAATTGCCTATCTTATACAGAACTAATATTATTCAAATTTGAACATCAAGTCCATTGATGTTCCGGACACTGATCACAAAATATTTACATAATCATTTTTTTTAAAAGAAAAGAAAGGGAGACAAATTTAAATTAAATCAAAAAGAAGAAAAAAAATTCGCTTGCAAACAAAAATAAAATTTCATTATGACAGGCAAGACTATGTCTTAAATCCGTACATTATGTTAAAAAATCCACCTAATCATCTCAAAACCAAATTCAACATTTATACAAAAAAACATCACATATGTAGACTACCCAAAGGAAGTGAACTCAACAAATGTACAAACTACATAAATTATGTTGCATTGTCAATTCAGTCACTAACATTTACCCAATTCAGCACAGGTCTTCAGTTTAGTAAATATGAGTGGATGATTCTCAGTCCTTTTCATGTGACACTTGTCATTGTCATTTTGTACGAGACATTTTCTTAGTATTTGTGCTTATGTTTATGTTTACGGGGTGGGGTTGATGGAGAAGATGCTCTGTGCTTCACTCGGGTTGGCGATGGTGATAATGAGCTTCTTCGTTTGCTGCGTGGTGAAACTGGAGATGCCCGTCTTTTAATACGAGGAGGTGAAGGAGTAGCCCCTCTATGCTTCAAGCGAGGTGATATTGGAGATCCTCCTCGTGACTTCTTGCTGCTACTGTGAGGAGATCGTGATCTTCTCGAAGATTTCCGACTGACAGGACTACGACTGCGTGATCTACAATTGATTTATGAATGATAACTAAGATAAAATCTCTTGTTAAGCATAAGACATTACGTACACAACCCTTAAATTCATTGCTACAAAAAGAAACATAATTATAACAACAGATAAGAATGTTTGCTAATATTTTGTACTTAAAATATAGAAGTATTTGGGTATTTTTTCTCTGCTCTTCTATCCTTCTTAGCTTGCAATTCACATAAATTTAACTTTTATTTAAAATAAAAAGGTACAAATTTAAAAGGAACATTTCAATAGTTAGAATTTTAATCATACAAACAAGAGCTGTCAGAAAAGAAAGTTCAAATCATGAACATGAATGTGAAATTTATTTTTCTCAAGAAAGGCATGTTTTAATTATGAACATACGTTACTAATTACATTAAATAGTCAGCCCTGAATTTTGAAAACTCTTACCTGTACGAGCGTTTACTTGGAATAGGACTGCCCGATGAGCTTCGAGAACGCTTGGATTTGGATCTTGAACTGGATCTGAGGAAATGAAATCACCCAATTATTAATAAAGAACCAGAAATGATACAAACAAAATTTATTACTAACAAACTTACGAATCTCTATGGTAATAAGAATCTTCAGGAGAAGAACTTCGCCTACTACTGCGTTCAGATCTATTCTCTCTTCGTCTTCTATCGGATGAATTTTGGCGATCTCGTTCTCTATCAGTTTCCCTCTCCTGAGAATCTTTTTCAGCATCTCTTTCTTCTCTTTCACTTTGCCTTTCCTTTTCTCCTTTTTCGGCCTAAATAAAAAAAAATTAATAATTAATATGCTAAATCATTCTAACTGCAGTGTCTAAAGGTTATAAGTTTTAACAAAATTACAGAAACCGCTCCATCTTTTTCTCCTTAATGAAATTTTCTTATTTGCCTGAAAGCTACATTTTTAGTTATTACTGGAATAAATATCGATAATGATACAATTAATTATGAAATATTCATTTACCTAAATATAAATTACATTATTTAATATTTTAAAGCAGATTATCTTACATTAATAACACACAAAACATTGGTGACTTCAGCGAAATACAAGGTTATGCACACTACAACAATATTTTTAATATGTAAATAAGAGGCAAATACTTTATTTTGTTCTTGCAATGATATAGTGAGGGTGGACTGAGTAGCTTTAGCTGTGGATCCAATGAAGTTGGATACAACAGCAATTTATATCTCAAATTAAAGTTAATACTAGAATTATATATAGTGATGAATGAAAAATACTATATCACAACCTCATATTGTTTTTAGTATACACCATATAACACATGACTTAAGTTCCCCCCATTAATACCAATTTGAAAATTATGAGGTTGTCATACATTTGCAGATTAAGCTTATGTTGACAGCGAATATGTTCCTGCATTTCCTTTTTCTTTCAAGAAACTTAATCATGTTTCAGTAGTTAAGAGTGATTAGTTTACTGGCTTTGAAACCCCCAGTGCATGGGCTCCTATTCTATGAAAGTTGGATGTAATATAAATCAGTAAGCCAACCATTTTTCTTTACAAAGTAGAGCAATGAGTGAAGTTAAGTCTAAATGAGAGTCAATTTTGATCCCAAGGTTGTTCACATATTTCAGTGGTTTGTCATCAATGGTGTAAATATAATGAACGAGTTGGCATTTCCTTGTATAGCTAATAACACAGCACTTTGGTGTCATATCACTGAATCATGCCCTAGGCCTTCAGGGATGAAAGATTATGGCAAATATTTTGAATTCTCAAATAAATTTTGGTGACTTCATATAACAGCAATACATTACTGTGAGTAAAAACAGATGGTACGTTGTTTGTGAACACTTTGAACAAGTGCCCTAGATTTAGATTTATTTAGTAAAAAAAACAAACAAACAAACAAACAAACAAACAGACCAGTAAAAACTGTATGTGATGTATGGGGGAGAAGATTATCTGCACAAGGTTTCTTAAGTCCAGAATCTCTTCCTGTCATTTGAACTATAGTTAAAAGATGAGTAAATGATTAAAATAATAAATAAAAACTAATTTTAAAAAAGTACGAGATTAGCAATATTTGAAAAAAATAGACATTTTCATTCCCGGGTTATAGAAAACTTATTTGCATCAGTAAATGAATTGCAAGTATCATTTTTCTGCATTGCTACAAAAATAGCAACTTGCCCTTACCTTTACTTCTACCATTACAATTAGCAATTACCATTAGCAAAAGGAAATTTCAATAAAATGTGCGCATAGTGAAGCTACATTTACGTCCAGAAGCAAAACAAGGGACCATCTCAGCATTTTCTCAACGGATCAGGGTAATTGGACAAAAACGGGACTGAGATGGGGGTCACTGACCCGGAAGCTGAAGTACGTTACTTGTTACAAACACATGAATTCTTATTAAACAATTTATACAATAAAATTTAAACTAATTCAATGTATATCACTGTTTTGTTAAAATAAACTTAATTTTTCATTTGATAAACAGTATAGTCTCTAATTGTATAGAAACAGTTATGCAGCAGAAAAGATTTTACTTTTAACTTAAATTTATGCACCGACTTCAATTGTTTAATGTCATCTGGCAATGAGTCGTAAAGTAACGTATTTGTATGTGGATTTCTGGCAGTGAGCTGTTGATATTGACACTTGATAAATGTTATTTCTATGACGTGTTGTAATCATAAATATTAGTATTGCATGAAAATATGTTCCCACTGTTAAGGAAGTCAGTTTTGACAAATATTACAGATTTGTAAATAAATAGGCAAGGCAATGGTAAGATTCCAAGGTCAACAAAGAGAGGCTTGCACGGAGAACGCGGATGGTATATTTTCATTATTTGAATCATTTTCTCTGGCAATTAAAGGTTTGGGTACTACATGATGAGTTTCCCCAGAATTTTATACCATATCTCAGGCGGGAATGTACATTTGCAAAATACACACAACAAGCTGCATGAAGGCTGACAGAATTTGAAAGAATCCTGAATGCGTAACATAGTGAACTTAATTTAGTGTTTAATTTTTTTATATGTATATTCATTTGAGGTTTGACTGAATTCCGACACCTATAAATTTTGTTACCTGAACATCAACTAATAGCATATTATTCATTTTCAATGGAGCATGCGATTGCTGATTGGAAATGCAATATGCATTGAAATTTGTTTTCTTTGTTAACTATTAATTTGTTATTACAAAACCAATTTGAAACTTTTGAAATCATACTATTTATGTTTCTTTTTTGCAAAGAACATTTGTGTCATTGGCAAACAGAACCCTTCTTCTGTTTTTAATAGACGAAAGCATATTGTTTAGGTATAACAGAAAGAGGACAGGACCTAAGATCGAACCTTGCAGGACCCCATATTCAATTGGTAAAGAAATGGAAAGATAAGTAAATAATGTCCTTCCATGCCAGTACAGTATTTATACTCTTTGAGATCCATGTTAGGTACAAGGTTAGATGCCAAGGGCCTTGAGGAAAACCAGATTGAGCATTGAATAAATGAGAACTGAACTCACAAACAGAGACAAAGTGCTTCCTGTCCTTGAGGTAAGTTCACAGCAAGGATAACATAGTATCACCAATGCCAAATTTAGCCAATTTTCTATGAGAATTTCATGATTTATGTAGTCAAAGGCCTTCGTGAAATCAGTATAGGTCACATCAACCTGATGTCCATGAAGGGTTTGGCAAAGAAAGAATAAAAAATAATATTGGTACTGGTGGATCATGGTCGGAAACCATGCTAATAATCAGAGAATAAAATCAATCTTGCACAAGATAGCACAAGCTACCACTTCTCAAAAGGTTTAAGATAGAGCTTAGAATGGATTTTGGATGATAGCAGAAAACATTTTTTTAGTTTGAAATATTCCAGAACATTGAGATACGACAAATAGAAACCTAATTCTTTAAGTAATTGAATATTGACGGTACAGAAATACTTTAGGCATAACATCAGCACCTGCACTTTTGTCAACATCCAGCCTACCAATCTCCACTAAAAAACAAACCGGAGTTAGTGTAACACAGTTCAATAAAATAGAATGATTTGCATGATTTTGTCATCATGAATGATATATTCAGAGGATGATTAAGTTCAGAGTACTGGAATGCAAAATACACAGCAAAGAATCAAGCAGCATCATTGTAGTTGTTGCAGTGCAAATTCCTTTGAGAAAGAAGGATTGAAATCTCATGGTCTTTGTTCAGGAAATTAGCATGCTCCCATATTTGTTGGAATTTCATTTATAATTCCTAATAGGCTTCTTTTGTTAATTGTTTGTGATAACTATTACCAATACAGATTGTTTAATCTCTTTGTTCTGCAATCATTTTGTGTCTGGTCTTGGTCTACAAAAATAATCAATTAAAATATTTTCCACTTACTTTACGCAGTAATTTACGGCGGTAGTGTTCCACTTGCTGTTGAATAGTCCAACCACTTTTAAGACTTCTCTGTCCATTTTCTAACTCATCTTGATACTGAACAGCTTTCAATTCTATTTCTCGCAGCTTGGCTCTGCGTTCTTCATTTAAATCCCTGCAAATTATGGTCAATAAGGTAAGTAATCTGTTGCCATTTTTTATGAATAATTTCCACTGATGCTTAAGCCAAAACATCATTTCCAGTATATTCTAACTTACCAAATTCATTGACTGTATAGAAATCAATTGTGAAAAGGAGCTAACAGAATCAAACATTTTAGGTAAATTAAACTATTTTCACAATACTTGAAATGACAAACTTCTAAAGGTAACTTTAACCTTTCACCAAGTTCATGCATGTCTACAACACAACTACAAGTGTGCAGTCTGCAAATCCATATTTAAATTGATTTCACTGTTAAGTATTAAGTTATTTCATTTTATTTATTTTTTTATATTTAATCACTGTATTCAGGATGATGGGACTTACCAAATAAATAAATAAATATATTATGCCTCAGAAATAAAAAGATAATACTTTTCATGAAACAGACAACAGAAAATGCTTTTAAAATCTTCACAGTATGTATTATAATGAATACTCTTGCAATATGAACCAGTACATGTAAGTGGACTGAAAATCCACATTTGAAAACCACCTTCCTAAAGTTTATCACCAGGCGTGATGAAGCATAAGTAAGTTATTTTCTTAGTATTTGTGGCTCGACATACTTTATCTTGCTTAGAAAACCTATCAGTTGCTTTGGACATGATACATTTAACAATCAAAGAAATATTGAGGAATAAACATCAGAGTGTATCAACATATTCAATGATCAGGTTGTGCAATGATAAATTGTCATTGCATTAATATTATTTAGAGATAATTAGATAAGACATCAAATACTTTAGGATCCATTTTTTGTAAAAAAAATATAATGTGTAGTCTCTAAGCCTGCAGGTTAACAAATAGGTTATCACATAATTTCATCTTTAGAAAATAAATCTTATTTTTACTACATGTTATTAAACTTCAATCTTACAGAAGTTTCTGTTAAATCCCAATTGGGATAGTATTAGTATGGCAATATAATCTCCGTGGACCCATGTTTGCTCAGCAATGCCAATTGCTTTGCGACCTCCCTGTTGTTTTAATGTATTACTTGTTTTCCCAAAATATCTTGTTCAAGTACCATTTTCTAGATGAATTCAATTATTCATTGAAATTGAAACATTTTACTACAATTTTTCTAACAGTGTCCCAGTTAATTTAGCATATAAATTGCCCATACAATTCTTTACTTGAGCAAATTCAGTTGGATTTATTAATTATTATTATTATTATTATTAATAATGGCTTTATTGAAATGGTGAAGCATAATTAACTTATTTAAAGTATATTAACAAAATTAGTTGAGAAAAATCTTCCTCACCTTGTTTCGTAACTCTGACAGTCTCCCTCTTGTGAATCATCTCCTCCAGGGCTGTCTAACTGTTCATCTGCTTCAACTTGCTCAGGTGGCTCACTCTGCTCAAGCAAATCCCATTTGCTAGTGGTCATTGCCTGGGCCTCTACTTGCTCAGGATCAACAGTCTCCCAACGAGAAGGAACAAATCCTGCTGGCATGGCTACTTTGAGAGCACGGCCGGCTCCACCACCTCCCCCTCCTGGTCCCAACACAGCACCCGGGGGCTGCACTTTGAAGTCACTGGGATCTTCTTCCATTGGCTGACCATCAATGTCGTCATCCACTACAAGAAAGGGATTCCACATCAGCTCAAAACTTGTGAATAAAAATACAATGTAAAAAAAAAAAAAAACAAATTGTGGAAAATAAGTTCCCAGGTCAATCCATGAGTCGGACTGACTAGGAGTTTACATATCTTAGATCATGTTTTTCAATACATTAAATGACATCATGTGACTTAGGACATGTGATTTATGCATTATGTCTCTTGAACTGTAAGATAGAATTTTTGCAACATCATGTAGCTTTGTAAACTGCCAAAATTACTTGAACTGTTATCAATTTGTAACGCAACATACAAAGAAAAACACACCAAGGACATTCTATTTAGGTCAAGCAGAGCCAGAAATTTATTCAAAAAGGTTAATTTAAATTTTAAAAGATTTCTTTTAGAACTTTCAATAAATAGAGAGTTAAACCCTCAACTCACTGGGCACACCATCAATATCATCATCTATTGGTCTGTGCTTCATAGCACCCTTTAGAAGTGCCACTCCATCAAGAGGGATTCCATCCAAGTCTTCCCGTTCCCCTTCAGCCCCCTCAGACATTGGAGCTCCATCGAGGTCTACATCCACACCAGTGTCCCTCTCTTCATCATTATCCGTATCTCCTTTCTCTTCATTCTATCAAACAATGAACTAAATGTATTTTTGTAATTTAAAAGGAACTGTAAATAGTAATGCTACTGAAATGCTCTCTTACCAAATTTGCAAGACCAAGAAATGCATTTTGTAACTTGATCAAAAACTCCTTGGGATACACAGCCCATTCTTCCCATGCTCGAAACATCTGCATAACACGCACTTTAAATCCTTCAGCTTTAAGTCTACTTTCCAAATTCATATAAGCAGTATGAACATCTTGAAAGATTTGCAATAGTCTGGACTCCAACCTATATCACAACAACAAAAAGTAATGTTATTAGATGAAGTACATTTACATACAATATTTTGGAATAAGTGCCCTACTCTGAGATTAATATGTTATGAACCACGTTAACATGTATAGAAACTGCAGTTTTATTCTCAAACAGCTCTATGAACAAGAAACAAATAATTTGATGCTGGTTTGCATTGGGTAGAATGAAGTTTTGCATACCATATTTACTCAATTATAAGCCGACCCCAAGAAATAATGAGCGGACAAAACAAAACAAAAAAACCTGACTTGACGCTTGTCATTTTTGCTCATGAAAAGGATGTCATCTTCACTGCAGTCAAGCCCATTTGAGATTGAACACTTTTTAAAATCCCTTGTGACAACTTCTTTGGAAATACTTTTCTAGGCAGCATCTATCCAAGCGCACACTTGCGATAAGCTAGCTGAAAATGCTGACAAAATCAGTGACTGAAATCACTGAAAAACAATGACAGCTGGAGTTAGTCCCAGGCTTGGTGGCCGAAACCACGTGCGTGTCAACACCACTTTACCACACTTACCACTCAGAATTTTAAAAATTATATATTTCAAATTAATACATGTGGTGACTTCATGTGGGTTTTATTTGTACTTCCTACCGTGTCAGCTGCATGGACGACGAAAAATAGATATCTTTAAGGACATCTGGTGTCAGCTACGTTATAGCAACACGATGATACTGATACTAAGCTGAAGGTCTACGAAGCAGAATTTTTGAAATTCAAGAAAAGAAAAATAGGTCGGCTTACAATTAGGTAAATACAGTATCTAACAATAGTTTATTTTGTACTATAAGACTGAGTAATATTATATAAAACTGTACCCTTTCCGATAATAAGATGCGTTGGTTATCTTCACCCCACAGTTGTGAAGAATGTCCGATATTAAATATAAACGAGCTATCTTTTTGGGGATTGGTGTTTGTAAAATCGACAATGATTCTGCTATGCAGTCACAAATTTCTTCAGCTGCTTCACTGTGTTCAATACAAAACACCATTGCCTCTGCAACTTTCATTCTCTCTGGAGTCATATTCCTCAGCAAATCTTCTAATCGGTCTCGTTGCCTACATCACAAAATATTGGAATAAATTTATTTCTTTTTTATTCAGAAAATACACCAACACAACTTCTTTCAATATTTTACTCACGTATTTGACAAACTGCCTTTCCTTGGTTCCTTTTCTTCCCCTTCCACTAATTCATCAGGCATTCCCTGTGTATATGGATTCATGGGTGGTGGTTTCCATATAGAACCTCCTGCAAGAAATTAACCACACAATGGCAAAAAAATGAACTTTTTTAAAGAAACGCATTTAGGAAAAAAACAAACAATATAAAATAATACAAGTTGGAGTAAGGAACTGTGTACAATAAAATCCCTCTAAATGACCACAACCCTTAAAAATTAATTTTTTGGAAGCAATCTGTGAGCTAACACTATATCAAAAGACCAGTAAGCAACCTTCCCTGTAAGAAACAGTTTACACAGTTTGGATTTTGTCAAAATCATTGAAAAAAGATCATGAAATTTTTATGTACATTCTGATAGCTTTGCACCTTCAGTTCAAGCAAAAATACCTAACATTTTTCTGGAGAAAAAAATAACATTTCTATTACAAACAGTACTCTAGAATCAGGGTTAGAGTATGCAGAATCTCATTAGGATTAGCAGTTTTATACACTTGTTTTCTGGGAAGGAAGTTAGGTTCATAAGCTAAACAATTTTGTTATGATAGAATGATAAATATCCATTATATTAATTTTACTCGAGACCTGCTAAGAATCTTTGCACATATTCAAATACTTTTTCTCCTGACACATTTTCTTTTTTTTTTAGTACTCTCAAAGGGAAAATTTAACAAAGATTAAAGAAGCCAATTATTCCCTTTAGAAATCAATTTTTGTTTCAGGAATTAACTGTGCCTGCTCAAGAAATATTCCAAAGTTAAATTTACATACTTAACAGATGTTCCACAAATGTAATGGTAGACACCAAAAATTACAGAAAACCTTATAGTACCTTTAAACATACGAAATTCTTGAGTCCGCCAACGGAGCTGAAGATCGCCTTGTAAAATTGAAAATAATTTCCAACGATAATAAACATGAGCTGGACTTTGATTCTCAAATAAGAATCTGTAAAATAAAATATTGGTTTGTGCAATCATGTCAAACACATGAATCATAAAAAAAAAAAAAAAAACACTAAATAAATTACCTAAACATCGGATTGTTGATTTCTCGATTCATTATCATTGCTTCAAACATGGGTCCTTCACGAATCACAAACTCGATCATACGGTGAATCAGCATTAGAAGATTTCTGTAAGTTAAGAAGACAACACACATAGCCTAACCACCTTCTCACTCTGCAATTACTCTGACTCATTTTTAGGGGGGGACACTCCCCACCTCTCTTCAAATAGTGCGCTGCTTCTTTAATTGCATATTGTAAAACCTATACTAATAATAAATATTAAAGATATCTCTCAAACCTATATAATTGTGGGATTTAATTTTAGAATATTCGAACACAAACAACAAGGATTTTCATCCAACTTTCATTTCTGTCTTCTAAATTCAAATAAACTTTCATAAACATGGGGTACTAAAACACACTATTAGGTCATAACTGAAGGAAAAGATAAAATAAAAATCAACAACATAATAATGTAATCAAATCAGTAAATATACTAATTTTTAATTCTAATATACACACTGAGAATCGGAAAATTTAAATTGATGTAGGGAGTACTTCACTCCAGAAAACAAAATTTAACCATGCAACAAGACACTAGCATATAACTGTCATTTTCTATGTTCTACAAGAAATATTTAAAAGTGGAACTTTTCACATTTATTTATCAAGTTTTTTCATACGTCGTTGTGTAGATTAAATTATTTGCACAAAATTCAAATATACACCTCAATTCCAATCTTTAAGAGAGCAAGGTAGGAAACATTTGAAATGAATCAGAGAACATACTTTAGGGACTAGAACAAACAGACCATTGTTAAACCAACGTTTATCTCACTCGTTTTGATGATTTGGTACCTGAGATCACCTTGGATGGGCAAAAGGTGGCATACATGGAAAACCCATGAATGAAAAATATCCAGGGAGACAGAGGACACAGATGAAAGCGTACCAATAAAGCGCAATGACAATCATTATATCAGTTCTCAGAACCATTTAATGAATGAATTTCAATTTTACCAACACAACTAATAACTAATTTAGTCTCAATCACTAAAGCCAACAGAACAAACAACTTCCCACATTAAAAAAATTAAGAACAAATAGAACTGTCACTCATTACAAGAAAATTTAAGTCTACTAAGGTAAGGTTATCAGATGTCCTTGTTTCCAGATTTACAAATCTGCCTTCACAATGTTCTCAAATATATATTTATAATGTAGGGGAACCCTTCAACAAATCTCAATTATTTCTTCTTAGCAGAAAAGTTACATTTTTTCAATGACTAGGGACGCTATTTAAGTTAAGTTGGAACAAAGACTTAATAGAAGTCTGTCATTATTTCCAAATCTAGATAATACATTAAATCAACTATATAAATGTAAGTCAAGACATACCTTTGTTCTTCACAAGTTAAATAGCATGCCTGAATTTACTGAAAAAGAGCCCAGAATGTTATGCTAAGAGCATCAAAGTTCACTGATAAAGCAATGTTTGTAAATGGATACACTTCCTGAATTTTTTACTAATTTTCTTACACATTATCAAAAATAAGGTTTGACAAATGGTGCAGAAGTGCACTCTGAGCACAGAATCTCTAACCATTTTCCTATTAAACTGAATTATGAAAAAGAACCAATGAGCATTTTTGGCAAAACTTAAAAACAAGAAAATACAGTAATAGTACACATCATGTACTATTTTAATATTCTTTTCATTATTATTATTATTATTATTATTATTATTATTATTATTATTAAAAGTAGTAGTAGTAAAATGACAATAACAAGTAAATTTTACCTCTACTCTAAACATTAAACGGTACATATCTTGAAATGTTAAATTATTCTGCTACTACAAATAATTATGTAGATAAATATAAAATAATTGTAAAGAGTTGTTGATTCTAATACCTGATGAATAGGGCTCTGATGTTTAGGTGCTAAAAAACAGAAAATGGTTACTTTTTATGTGCTAAAAGTGAAAAATATTGTGTTAAAACTATGAAAATATTTAAGTACTATCCATATGAAAACCAAGTTTAAGAGAAGACTCAATGTAAAACGTGACACCATCTTCTTTATCACGCTGCACATTTCGATTGTGCAATCTGAGGAAGTTTGGGAACTGTTTTTGTGTATATTATCACTCAGTGTCATTGCCTGAATCGACAGTAGTGTTAGAAATGGCCCACAGACAGTTTGACAATTCATGAACCAGACTCACTCCATTCAATCAGGGGAGTCCCACAATAAAATGCGATACTAGACCAACTACTGCATTCCAAACTGGCACGTCTTTCACCATATATCTAACTCTGAAGTATTCAACTTGAAAGTTCTCAAAATACTCATTTATTCATATAAAATTTAGCACAATATGTGATAATATTTGTTTCAATGAAAATATTTACTTTAATGCAACTAAATGAAAATATTTATCTTTAGGTGTTATGCAATTTGGTATATGGGAACTATGGGGCACAGTTTGAACTTCCTATAATTAAGATTAAGGGGAGAAAATATATAAAAACCTAAAAGTCTGAGCCCTACTGATGAATATGATTCCCAAGTCACTTATAATTATAAATAGAAGCATTGGAAGAAAATATGTTCCACACCTGAAAAAGCCAGTCTTCACAAAACAATACTGATTCAGGCAAAGGTAAATATTGCTAGCTTAATACAGAGAAGCTTGCAGTAATCATGCCAATGGCATTTTCTTATTATTCACACAACTTTATTCTGTAATTTAAAATCTTGTTTCCCCACAATATATCATATTTCAGAATGTACAGTCACAAATATATGCCACAAGCTGTATGAAGGCTGACTTAATTTGAAAATAATATTGTGTTCAATTCATTTAAATACTCATTTGACTGAATTAAGAGACACAAAAATGTTATTTTAACCTCATCCAATTGCACATAATTTATTTTATATGGAGTATGTGATTGTTTTTGAGAAATGGAAAACTGCATTAAAATAGTTTTCACTTTGTTTACTATTAATTTGTAACATGGAGAATCTTTAACAACCATAAATAATCAATTGGAGACAGATTAACAGAGCTTGGTCAGTAGGAGCAAAACAAATTGAACCATGGTTGTTTGCTGACATTTCTGAAAATTAAATTGAGGATGATAATAGATTAGTTTCAAAGAGCAGACAACCTGTGTCACAAGTAGAATGCAGAAACATGATAAAATTTTATTTCCCATCGATTATTGCTTTAATGAGACCTTTTATTGCATTTAAGGAACATTACACAAAGATATTTGTGAGGTCAGTATACAATGATGCCTGGTGACCTGCACAAGGGTACACAAGTAACTGCCCCAGCTTCAATCCTCATTTAGAACACAGTAGTGAAAGAAAATTGCAAAAGAGACAGTGGAAACAAAATATATCTCTCCACAAGGTGAGTGGAATCAGATGTTACTGAACTATTGATTATTCTTTCTTTGATTCCTACAGATCACTTGTTAAAACACCCCTCTCCTCCAGTCATCATTCAGGCACTAATCATTAAAAAAAGAAGCATCATCGATCAAAAATAATAAGAGCAAATGACGTTCAGAACAACCAATACAAATGAACACATGTTCAATTTAGAACATCTCTGAAATTACTAAAGAATAGTTTTAAATTCACTTGCATCGTTATGATCTACCTAGTCAAAAATGTACTACACGAGTCCTTGGAAATATTTACAAATTAAGTTTTACACAAAGTTAATTGCTTACCACTAGCTCAAGGCAAACTGAAATCAAATTCTGTGAGTGGAATTGTTTGGACACCAAACTTATAGCAACTTTTGCTCTCTTCTCTTTCAATGCAGAACTTAACCATAAAAGCAATTTTTACTGTGGAGGTAATTCAAGATACCTGAAGTGAGCAGGAATTATATTAGTAATAATTAGTATCAACTGAGCGAGTAACTTGTTACAAAAAAGAAGCCAACCAAATCAAGAACAAACAGAAAAAGGATCAAGTCACAATTGAAGAAAAGATCTAACTTCAGGAGAAATGTTTCTGGAGACTAAGCAGAAAATAAGTTCACCAATCAGAAGATTAAACAATTAATCAAGATGAAGATTTAATAAAGGTTAAATATCACAAAACACAAAATCTTACTATACCTAACAAAATATTATTTGTAACAGATGAGGTATGGAAGTAATAAAGAGGGCCTAAAAATTACGCTTCAGATTGCAGAGTACATGTGTTACTTGTACATGTGTTACATGTGTTGTGTGAATATCTTAAAAAACCTATGACTAGAATAATTATAAAAAGAGCATATCATGGAGATAATTATTGTTAAAACATGACAGGAGACGATGATTTTATGGAGTGTAAGTGCAGAGACATAAAATGAAACTTCACTTTGTTTTCCTTTCTTATTAAAATCACTATTCCTAAACTTCTAAAAATACAAAAATCAGTGCGTAGAGTTGGGAAGAATATGTCTACTTTCACATCAATAATAATGTTCCTACTTATCGACAGCAATTTTATCTCCCAACACACAGGATATTAGGCAGTCAGTCCTAAGGATTGCATTACAAACAAAACAGAAAGCCTGCTGATTACAAGGAACTGCTACGCCATTGTTATGAAGATTTCCACAAAAATAATAAAAATAGAAACTCATAATTCACTTCAGGATGAATAATGAAAAGTTAAGGTAAAGAAATACAGAAAATCATATAAGATGGCATTAACACTTTCTCCCACAACAAAAATCTACTGTTTAAACATAAGAAACCTTCTGAGGCCAGGTTATTAATAAAATTAATAATCAAAGTATTTTCTGTGGAATTCAACATTTTTGTTGCTTTCTATGAGTGATAATTCATTCATTCCAACATACATTTCAATTCCTTCAAATCATAACAAGGGAGAAATGTTATACCATTTGGATTCATTCAATCAAGTCAAAAGTTTCGATTATTATGAGTTAATTTTTGGTATGAATACTTTGAACAAGTGTGCAAATGGAAAGGATTGAGGGAAAATGAATTAATTTTATACTTATTTTATAAATGTTAGGGTATTAAATAAATACTCTAAACTATTTCTCACGTGCTCCAGAAAAATAATTCCCAACAAAGAACTGCACCACATTGGGCACTCAAGGGGAATAAAATCACATCTTGAAAATTTCCTGATTGTGAACCACACTGAGATTTTTCACTTCTTTTTCCATTTCTTGAAAGATATAACACTTAACCACAATCTTAAGAGAAATTACAAAGGAGTTTCAAAATTATTTTTAAAACCAAATATCCCGATTTATCATGCAAAATTCTATACTTCTTGGCAGATTAGTAAATCATACAGAGACATTTCATTCCAGAGAACCGACTGTAAAAAAGGAACACAGTCCCCTGTATTTTGAAATGCCTTATATCCAATGTTTATAGTAACTTACAATGGTATAATAATTCTTTTCCTCTTCCTTCTCCTCTTCATTCAATCTTCAAAATGTGTGCACTTTAGCACAACAGAAGTGAAGTGTTGGAAAACTTTCTAAAACTTGCCGTTTTACAACTATTTAGAAAATTTTCCAACTTTCAACTTCGAAACCATTTTCACTTACCTGTAAATGATTCATTTGTAAACAATATGGAATTGCCTGTACATTACCTTTCAGTCGGGATAACCACTTTGACAACAGCCTGGCATAAAATCTGTGAGGAGAGCAGCAGCAACATCAAAACACACCCTTATACCAATACCTATTTCAGCCAAAACATGTGTGCCCTTTGTCAGAGGAAGTGTTATTCCAGTTAACAGTTCAATAGGTCCACGCTTATTTGCATTTATAATTTTACTGCATTAAGAATTGTGGAAGTATTTTATTCTCATCAATACATCCTCTTTTCAGACAAGACCACACATGTTATATGCTCAACATTTTAAGATCACCTTTCAAAAATCAGCAAACATACTAAGATGTAGTATTCAAACTTGGAACTTCCCCCTCCCCAAAAAAACAGTGGAATGTAATACAACAAAGCAAGAAAACTACAACTTTAACTGGAACTTCTTTGATATAGCAAACACCAGGACAAAGATCCAGTTTAATAAAGTATCAATCCCCATTAATGGGTTTATATTTAAAAATTACTAACACACCATTCCAAACATTTTAACTCTTATTGAATACATGTTCTTTCAGGAAAACAGCTTCAAAATGTCTCTCCCATTTAACTTCAAGCAATTTTCATGATGTCTTGCCAAATAAGAGGCGATACCATTATTTAATATGATCTACATTTAAAAATTCTAAATAGTTTTCTAAAAACCAGTTCCATTTCATTCACTAAAAAAAATTGTTATATCTACAAGACTCCTCCACAAACACACATACACACATGCATGCACAAGTAATTCATCCTAAAATATGTTTTCTTTAACTAAAATATACTGCATTCAACTACAAAATTACCTTGTCCATTTCCTCTTTCTCATCAGGTTCTGTTGGATATGGGTCATTTGGATGTAAATGCTGCACCTACAACAATTCACTTGCACATAACACATTGAACATACAACTACGATTTAGTTGATTCCAAAGCAGCTCGTGAACATACTATGAACAAATAAGATTTAAAATCTAAATTAAGGAAATTAAGCAGAGTACTGCAAACCTTGTGCTTATCCCGCTTGTTTGGTTGAGCATTAAAGGGTAATCCTGATGGAGGCGGAGGCATTGTTAACTCCAACATTGCCGGAGGAATGTATATTGGATGTGGTGGTATCGGGACAGCT